ACTTAAAATTTTGCAATTTTATTTTGGGTAAAAAATACACGAGGCGAGATTTGTATGCAAACGAAAGCAGTTCGCATCAACCGCGCCTCGTCGATATATTAATATTGCACGAAATGATTTTTCCCTTCATCTCTTAGCTCCTCATCACAAAAATTGCCGGCTCGCACGGTTCACTGTGCACGATAACGAGACCTAGACGACAAATCAACTCAAAATATACGTGTATACGCGTATTCTATGCATAAAACGTTGGCACTGGTTGGAGCCCCGGCTTCGGCGTATGCGGAAGCACGAAAAATCGATCTGAATTTATAATGCCCAAGAAATATGTGCGCCGTGCGGCTGCTACACATAGCGAGAGGGTGAGAAACATAGTGGTGTAATACACACACACACACATCCATAGAAGCTTGCAAACAAAACCACGCACCACGTAAAATTGGATCTCCCAATTGCGGTCGTACACAGGCCGCAAATTCAAAAAACTTGGCGGTTTTTATATATACACACAGCCAGTACATAAGGGAAATATATCGAGATATACCGATCAGGACGTAGCCCGAAAGATGTGAAGTGCATCATTTTATTGTGGAAATCCATTTCGGCGCATCTGCCTCGGTTATAACCTCTTATTGTCTACCTCTTCTTCTTATTCTGCTTATCTCCGTTTCCGTCCCTCGATCATTTCCGCCGAAATGCACTTGAAAACTGGCAAAGCTGTGCGGTTTACTATACGGCTCCAAATATTGTGCGCACTGAGCGAACGGATGGCGAAATCGGCGAAAGAGTCTCGCCCGATATCTATCTGGACTATTATCTTCTTTCATATTGGTCTTGGAATAATATTTTTCACGTCCATTGTTGCAATATTATAAGAACCTTAAGTATAATGCATGCTGCACACAAGAGAGTTAAGAAAAGTGAAGGCAAGAAAGCAAAAAAAAAAAATGAATAAAAATTATATCTTCGGGTATAAAGCTGGTTCATTCTTTTTATTTTTTGTTGTATCCACTTGGATTGTGTACCTATCTGGGAAGCAACATTCAATTATAATATTCAGATGCTCTGTCCTAATAATGACGAGGTGGAAGCACAAGCAAAGCTAAGAAATGTTTCTCCTCGAGTGAATTTCCTTGACTGTAAAGGTTAAAGAGTTAATTTAACTCTTGGCAGAGTTTTATTTTGTAGCAAATGTGCCTTGTTAGCGAAATAACATTTGCAAAACAACGTCGACGACAAAGCCAAACGTAACGCGCAAATCTTGAAAGGCAGACCGGGTTTATTTTCTTTTAAAATATTTTGCTAGAATTACTTTGTGGACAATGTTTGCGAAAGCCAGCAAAATTAACGAGCTTTCCACGACTGCTTCAGAAAATCTTATATGCATCTTATATTTTCTTCTTTTGTGTGTCAATATTAAAAGTAACAAAGCGAATTTTTTAATTTTAATTGCAGTTGCGAAAGAATTTGCATCCAAATCGAATTAACCAAATTGACTCACTACTCTAGGACATAAAATGATATATATATGAGAACAAAGTCTACTGTTAGTAATGTGATATGCAAACATGAAGAATAGCGCGATGAAATATGAATCACTGATGATTTGCTCTTACGTCGTCGCTGTGTTAAAGTGAGGGCTGCAACCAGAAGCGACGCTCTCGACAATCGAAGCACTCAAAATGCAAAAACCATTTTGGCTTATTTATGAAGAGTTCAGTGCGCGCAGCTAGGTGCCAGAAAAAGCGACATCTATAAACTCTGATTAATGACCGTTTTCGTAATAAATAATGACGATTCATTTATTTCGACGCAGTTACTATAAAACATCCACTACGAATGTAAATTTTGTACTTAAAATGGAAGCGCCGCGCAGCCATTTTAATAGATATGATGACAATGGCGACCACAACTGGTTGTGCATCACATGCCGCAAATGAGCACGAAAATGTTTTAACTGTAGTAGTTGCCGAGTAACCGCACGTCGGCTTTTTTGCGTCGCAGAGGACAATGGGATTGCGCAATATCTTCTTCCCCCTAAATTGTAATGACAGGAGGGCGCGTAACCCTCCGTGTTATCTCACCTGCCCGAGGCACATCGAGGCGCATCGCAATCATTTTACGGTACCAAAGGCGTTTACCAAACCACTATATTATGTATACATACGATAAATATAACGGACACATGGCGGCCACAAAACTAAAACACAAAGCTGTAAAGTAAGGTTAGAAACTTTCTTTTTCGAATTTTCTCTTATGCGTGGAGTTTATGGTCAGCTAAATTTATTAAATTGTAAACACGGTGTTTGTGCTTGTGCTGGTGCTAATCGGACATTGTTTATCATCCGTTGTGCGTGAATATAAATAATCGGCGAGAATGCAGGCTTGCGCCTCTTTAATGGTTAATCCCGGCCGTAAAGCAAGATATACAACGCAATTATTCCTAAACCAGTGACCGTAAGCTACACGGGCTTTGAGTTCCAAGGTGATATATGGGATTCATTGCAATTTATGTTTCCGCACGAAGCTGAAGGAATTTTTTGCGGGCTGGAAATGTTGCGTTAATTTTCTAATTCATGCAACGCGTAGGTATAAATCATCGAAATTAAAGCAGAATTTTTTCACTCAGATTAATGAAGTTGTACGGTTAGCATCGTAGGGATCATTAATCGCAAAAACATCAATTGTCGCCGAGTTGAACATTCATCATAAATCCAGAATTGGAATACGTGCGCGTTCGACTGGCTAAAACACAGCCGATGTAATTAGTAATATGAGTTGTGTTGACGCGAAGCATCGGCAATCGGCGATATGGATTTGATAGAAATCGGCGTTGCGCGTGTAGTGAGAAATAAAAGTGCGCAAATTTTCATATTAATTAAAAATCCAATCCAATTAGCAGTCGCATTCGCATAACGGCGCGTCGCCGCCTGTTTGCAGGCTCTCCCGATGTGCTCGACGCGTAAAGGTACTGCCTCCATGTTCCTGCTGCTGCTCCTGCTGCTCCCGGGCCTTCTCTCTACGAGTGCGTTATGTATATTAGTACACGAATTGCCCCGTGCCTGCACTTGACACACGTCTGGTCCAAGCTAAGTCTATTCTACCGGAATAATGTATTGGCAAATACGGAGGGGGTGTTCGAATTAATCCTTATTACAACGATCCCATTATATTGTGTAAGACCTATGGGCCTTAACGACATTACGATCTATATCCACCGCCTGGAAAACAATGGATTCAATCAAAAAGTCTGCGGCTGAGTCGAAAACAGTCAAATAAATCCCAAATATCTTAATGCAATTTATTGCTTTGTTTAATTATTCTTTTCACATGCAGATGTCAATATTTAAATTATTTCTACGCACCCTCAGTAGAATATTCATTCCCGAATGTTTAAAATTATACTTTTAGACACGTAAAATTAATGTTTGAGGTTAATTTAACATCAAAAATGTACAAAAATACAAAATATGTTTTGGTTCCCGGCGACTTCACCAAAATATATCCACCAAAAGTAAATTGAAGTTGATTGTAAGTGCATTCAAAAGCGTGACATATTTTCAAGCACACTTGTCGTTAATGTAAGTGTATAAACGATAATGGTAACAAATGTTACCCCACACAACAACATAATATTTACAATGAGGCCTTGTCGTGTGCGCAACATGTAATTGTTACCCGCGCTGGTACAAACAACCCCCCGAAGCAATCTCATAGTGGCACTAGGTACCGTTTTCCATTCAGACATTCATTCGATCGCAATATACTTCGAAATGGAAGTCGACGAAAAGGGAACGACAAATCTCAGTGTGCAATTAGTGCAGCAGCGACGAGCTTTTGCATTAAGTGCACTTCTGTCCTTGACTTACCGTTCAAACTAAATTAATCAACAACGCAGATATTTCGGATAAATTACATGGTAAAATAAATATGTTTTCGCCGTTAAATTGATATTAAATAAATAATAAACAATAAATAAACACTAATGAGAGTTTGGTAAAGTTCTAAAACACAATAAACATTTATAATTCAATTAAATTTTATGGTTTGTCCTTATTATAATTATTTTAATGCGGTTTAATTATAAATATTTCACATTTTGATGTAAATTAACTTTATCGTTTGATTTATTTTTCTAGTTTTTAATTAAACAAAGCAAATATTGGTTGATTAATCAACGTAGCAATTTCGTTATTTTAATTACTGCAGGAGCGTAAATTATAGTTGACTGAGTATGAATTTGGAAATAAAAATTAATTCGATATTGGCGGAATGGAAATATAATTAAAATGTTCATTATATTTTACAAAATTTGATAAACAAGTAAATCTGATTTGACTGGTGATTGAAGGGTTCGAATTTCAGTGGGAATGAAATCAGAAGTGATCGTTCGTTCAGTTTAAGTGTGTGCCGCTTGTCACTTACCACTTATGCGCTTGGGGTTCTTTTAGTGGTCCCCCGAGGAGCTTCAATTGGTTCAATGAATGATGATAACCTGCGTTTGGTCCTTGGACTATTCAGTAAACAACAATTAATTCAAATTGCAACGCATCACTGCACATTATTCACATACACAGAGCGAAAAAATAAATTGAAGAGAAATTTTCTTATCTTATCTTGTGAAAGTATTACATTGCGCAAATGAAAATGGTTAACGGCACTTCTGGAAGGAAAAGATCAAACGATATAAATTGCTGCGGTGGTCAAGAGGCTGACTTCCTGGTGTAGAAACATTTATACCTATACAATTACGCCGGCAATGCGCGCTATTGTCGTTTACAGCCCCTCGGCAGCAGGAAGGCGGATGGGGGCGGGCGTCCTCCTCCCACATACGTACACTTCCTGTTCGAGCGGCCGGATGCCTGGCGATCAAACAGAAGGACCTCGATATAACTCAATATCACCCCTCGCAACCTGCAGGCTCTCCGCAAGCCAATAATATTTATTGCAACAAAACGCATCCTGCAAGAAAAAGAAAACGAATATAAAACATCACAATATTCTTCACCAACCAACATTTGTTTATTCATTCATTTATCCGACTTTTGAATCACAACACTGAGTTTAATACAATATTAATTATACTCTTTTTAAAAGAGGTCATTTCACTTTTATAATATTTAATATAAATGTATATCAATTAAATGATATCAAAAACAGCTTGAACTAATCAAAAAACGAAGCACATTTGTTATCATTGCACATTGCACATAGTTTCCAGCAATATAGAAGATAATATTCGTTCTTGGAGTTTTTTTTTTATGTTTTCTCTAGTAAGATGATTGGCATTCTCTCAGAATGATGATAGGATATTATTTTATAATATTTATATAGTAATTTAACATTCTCCATTGTAACTATAAGTATATATAATAAATTATTTGTTTCATAATAATAATCTTTGCTAAATATTTCCAAACAGTTTAATGTAATGTATGTATTTCGAATACGATATTATAAGCAAAATTTTTTTTCTGTCGAAATGTCACTTAGTGAAGCTGTTTACACTGCTAATAAACTTTATAAAGTCGTTATAATGCTGCTAAAACGTGTATATATATATATTTACAAACAAGCTATGCCAATAAATATGCAACTATCTACAACAGAATCGTATTTAATTTTTTACTTTTAATGAATGATCAGGATGAGGATGATGTGCGTTTGAATATCTGTTTCTTTGATCTTGTATAATGATTATTATACATACAAATTTGTTCCCGAGTATACACGTCTTCTACATGTTTCGTGGATGCGTTTAATTTATTTTGTCTCCTTTGTAAAATATTGCATGTAAATATTTGAGCAACAAATTGATTCGGAACGTCTTAATAATTTAGTTGTATATATTCGTAGGTACGCTATGACTAAACGACACACCAAAAGAATGATTGGTAGATATGGCAGTGATTATTGCAACTCAATAACTCGATCTTATGTAATGTCATCGTCGTCGGGTCCGGCCCGAATTATAGCAGTAATATGCACTAAAATAATATCACATATACGCGTAAGTCGCGTATTAGTTTGACAATCTTTTCATTTTCACACAAACTTCATCGGCATCGGCATCACCGCTGAAACTCGTACATGTAAGTTTATAGTATATATAGTTGTAATTAAATGTAGTGGTGTAATGATGAAATGAATGCGGAGCTAGATTATGGAAAGAGATTACGCTTCGATATCACTGCAATTCACTTTGGTTGGCGTTCTTTGCATTTGCGTTCCCGCGGCAGCATCAATGATTGGTTCGGGAGAAGCTGCGATGGACAGAGTCAGCGGTTTCATCTTCAAAGGATGACCGTTCAGTTTCAGATCGGCGCGCGCCATCGACGTCGTTGAGCTGGCGTTTGTCGTCGTCGCATCTTTCGGATAATGCGGCGTAGAGGTGGAGGAGGAGCCGGGACTCGACGCGAGCATCTTGTGGTTATCTTTATGATTCGTCTTACTTTTGCTAGTGACTTGTTCCCTTAATGCCATTTGATAGGCGAGCTCAAAAGCTTGACCCAGCGTTAGGATGATGTCCGTTGCTTGTTCCTGTAAATACAAGAAAGGCCAAGAAAGTTGAAGTGAATCTTTTCAATACGAAAAATACCCACTGCTGATTTCGTTGAAAACACGTGACAGTAGTACTCGTTTTGATCTTTAGTGATGTATGCGAAGTACAGACGGGATTCCGGATCTTGGCACGCGCAGTTGACATTTTTGATTTCATGATCACAGATACATTCCTAGAATGTAACACTTAAAAAATTTCTCTTCTTTTCCTGGTATTCGTTTCGTACCTGTGCATCCTGACTAAGAAACTTGAGTCCTTTGTAGGAAATTGCCAGCACAATATCTTGTCCGTTCTTCTCCTCGGATTTGCGTATTTTTTGAATGGATTTCTTCGTTGATTCAGTGCCCTTGAATTCTTTGACTAAAGTCGATCCTAAATACTGTAATTTTTTTTAATTTAGAAGTTAAAACTTAATTTTATTGCAATACGCACGTTTACAGTGTACTTGACTACGCCGGTGATCAACAATAACGGTTGATGCCTCCACTGGGCCTTAATGGACCCCGTCCCACCAACAGATATTTCTGATTGTGACTTTTTATCTGCATCTGGCGTTGATACAGTGGAGGCGTTCGTAGTGGTCGGCGTCGTATTAGGTGGATTCGCATTCTTATGCGTTGGTGGCGGCGGCGCCGGGCGCGATTTTTTATGTCTGTGACGAATAGTGCCCGTATTACCGGGCGCCGTTGCCGCCACCGCTGACGCCGCGGCAGTAGACGGCGAACGCATTTCAGATTTCAATTGCTGTATATTGTTTTTCTACAAATCACAAAGCAAAAGAGGGAAATTGAACGACGTAAAATATTGCGCCAGCAAACATCCACAATAAAGAAGATTGAATGCGTTTCGCAACAAAAGAGAAATGAAATGAAACTGTTGTAATTAAAAAGCTCGCAAACGGCACGCCGGAACACATCCGAATAAAGGCGGAATGCAAAATAAAAAATACTAAACCCTAGTGCACATCTACATACGAATATTAAAAAGTCGAGAGTCGTACGGCGAAACTCACCAGCGCACTCAAATCCGCATTGATTTCTTCCAGCTTCGGCCCGGCTGTTGCCTGTTCGCCACTGTTGACGCTAAGCAGAATGCGTTTTCGGTGGCCAACTTTTTCAATGTCCAGCACCGTGGACAATTCCACATCCCATATACGTTTTATGCGTTCCATATCGACGTAGAGATGCTTTGCGAATGTTTCGGCATACTGTTCCAGTCGTATATGTTTCAGCCAATTATCAACACCATCTTTGCCACCGTCTGTCATGCTGTTCATATTATATAGGAAGTCATTTATCATAGACGGTAACTGTTTGCATGCATTTAAGATTGTTTGCCGCTCCGCATCGCTAACGATACCCATTGTTTTTAAATCGGAATCTTCCAATGTGCCGTTCTACAATACATCGTAGTGCTGAGATATTTGCGACGTCGCAAAACACACGCAAAACAAACAAAAACTAATTTATGACTTACCAAAAAGTCCAGATCATCAAAGCCATGGCCAAGGAAAAGCGGTAAATAGTCGGACATTTCGATGGTTGTCAACCATTTTTCTAACGTATTCGGCTGGTTGTGATTATGGGCAGATTGCAGGTTGTGATTCGACGTGCTCAGAGACATGAGACGATTCTGAAACTCCGTCTCTAGTTCGGAGACGAATACGGACTCGCGCACAATGCCGGTGCCAAAAGAAGCCATAATTTCTTGAATTTTCGCCCATTCCTCCTGCTCATCGAACGGACTGAGCGTCGATACGCGCTGTTCCGCTTTATTGGCACAATCGGCGCCGCCTTCGTTGTTACCACTGCCATTATTACGATTTTCCGTGCGGTTTTCTTTATTCTCCGACTCCTTATCGGACCCCGACGAGTTGCTGCTCGATTTATTATCTTGGCGGCCGTTCGCGCCGCCCGCCACGAAATTGTCATACACGCGTTTGAGTTTCTTGAGCGTCTTGGGTCGTTCGAGTGCGGTTTGCTTGTTCGAATCGGTCAGCACTTGTGTCGAACCTTTAATTAAGCCTGGAGAAACACCGCGCACCGGCGAAGGGGCGGGTATAAGTGAATATTTTAATTCGCTTCCTCAGCGCAAAACACACGCACTCTATGTATTGTATTTGCAAATACAAAAACATACACATACAAAAACTAATAACACAGCGTACATCCCTATTTATGCCCTCTCACATTTGCGCACATACAGCAAACTAAACAACACTGTACACTCCGTATAACGACATTAATTAAATAACATTTTCAGCAGTGATTGCATTTAAAGAATCAACAAAATTGTTTGCACTGTACTAATGAAACTACATTGAATTTAATTAAAATTGAAATTAATTAACTCGCGAATTTATTATAAATTATGATTAAAGGGCAAACAAACGTGAAACAAACGTCCACGGCGCTGAACAAAACGTCATTACGCTTTGTTCGTGTGCGTTTATTTGAAATTTGTGTGAAAATTTATTTGCGATCAAAAGCCTAGCATAGGTATGTATATATTTATTATCACTAGCCTGAAGTATTGCTTTTTGTGTCTGCTTATTTAGTAAGTATATAATTTACCTGCAAACGGCGCATCCGAGTAATATTCTTCTACTACATTATCGGTGCTCTTGTCGGAGAGTGACACACTACTAGAGAAACTGCCGCTCGAGCCGTCGAAGATTAATAAATACTCGTCCTCCGTTTCAGTCTCCATATCCTTTGATCTTCTTTTGTACTCCTGAGCGAATTTCAAATTACATTCATAAGCTTATGCTTTGAATCGCTCAGAAAAGGTCATTTTAAAGCGTTGAAAAGGTGTGAGGTATGTACTGTGTGCAGGTGATTTGCAAACAAAAAGTGCATGGACAAAATTTATTCGGTGGATATAAATAAAACATCTTGTTCATAGCAAAATATTTAACAAACAAAAAAAAAACGAAACAAATAATAAAATTCAGAGGACAGGACTTTGCAGCTCATCAACTATTTCGCATAATTATTCAAGACTTACCTGACTAAGTGGACGTATTCGGTCGTGTATTGCATTCTCGGCTTGCAGTGCCGAAGGTGGTGGATGTTCCGGCGTCGGCGGTTGTTGATAGTGCGTAGGACTCAGTGGAATTGTTTGACTCACTCGTTTAATCGTTCGCTCCTTTTCTTTCGGATCATTATAATCGTCCTTGATCATTAGGAACTTCCGAGACACGAAGGTCTCCGGCGCTGAGGAGCTGGTCTTGTTGATGGGTAGGTCATAGTCTTCGTAAACATTTTCCTGACTGCGATCGTATTGATCTGGGTTTCTTCGCAGTTTTCGTTTCGGATTCGGTTTGATTACGTTTTCGTACGCAATGGCAACCGGTTCCGGTTTCGGGCGGCGTGTGTCTAGATCCTCGCTTTTCCCACGCTGTAATTCTTTGTTCGGCGGGGGCATAGGAGCACCTTCATCATCGTCTAGGTTAATACTGAAAACTGTATTCATTTCGACATATTGATCAACACTGCGTCCGTGCATTAAACGCTCGCGTCTGGATTCCTGCTGATCGACATTATCCAAGTTGTCCTGACTCTTGGTGCCGGAATGGGCGAGAAATAAAAATTCGTACGCGTTATTACTGTAACCGTCAGCACCGATTGTGTGCAAGTGAGTGGGAGACACTGATAAATTTCGTCGCGGTGGTTTCTTTGGTGGTGTAGGCTGTGAAACACATATAATATTTGATTATTGTGATTGATGTGAAGACAATAATCCTTACAGAGACTTTGTTGTTGGAACAAGGACTGTGGGCACCTTTCGAGTTGAGCATATTCATGGGCATGTAGAGTGGTGTCGCACCACTACTATCCGGTCGCCGCGGATAACCCGTCGAGGACGCAGTTGAGGATAAACTGATACGATCTGATTCACGGCTATTGCACATAAATATATCGTCCGAATTCACACTCGAGTCCATAAATTGCTTGGGCGCGCAATGAATCTGATAGAGGCTGTTATCAGACTCCCTGGAACAATCAAGCGACACCTTCCTGTATGCGGAAATCGAAGAGATCCTACGCTTTTTCTCTATGTGCAATTTTTCGCTAAACGAAAACGTGATGCTGTCCGCAATTGAGGAAGTACTTGAAGCCAGCTCATGCATCGAGTGTACCTTTATGCTTTTCGGTTTTGTCCGACGTAACGGCGGCAAGCTTCGATACAGAAAGTTGCGCAGCCTAAAACATGCAGTTAATATTGCAAAATGCAAAGCCATGCGCCCAAAAAGCAAAACAAAATAAAGGTAGACAAGTAAAAATAAAAGTTTTGCCAATTAGTCACAGCCCAAATTCAAAAAAACAACCAAAAATAGAATTTCAATAGAAGCAATTTTAAAATTTCAAAAAACGCTTTAGATATTCAGCCCAATTTATAACAAGCTACATCTCTACCACTTACATTGAAGTCCCAGATATTCTTCGATCTTCAACACAATCAACCGACCTGGCTTGCCTATGAAAATCCCATCGATGCGGCGAAGATCCCGGAGATGGATCAGTCGTCATGGACCTTCCTCTGGAACACGATCTAACATTTTCATAGGGACTACCTAGCTCAGAATCCAAGTGAGAAATAGGAGGAAACGGTTGACTGAAGCCTTCACCATCGCTATCAGCAAAATGACTGGCACGTAGTTTCTTATGTCCTGATCACCACAAAAACAATAATAAAAACTATTACAGAACAATATTCACGACAACCATCTAAGAATATTTACGTTTTAACAACGCCATGATCTCCTGAGTAGCGTGCGCCGGAAATTGTCTGAGCAGATCTTTAACCGTATAGTTGTGAGCATCCCTAATATGTATATCAACCCCATACTCCAGCAAGGTCCTAACTACTTCAATCTTCCCGCACAACGCCGCTTCATGCAGAGCTGTACCAGCCGGCGTTCGGATATTTGCATCCAAACCAGAACGAAGCAATACTTCGACGACCATTCTAATATTAATACAAAACATTAATATTAGTAAAAATTCTGGTCACCTGCGGTGGTAGATTGGGGTTGGGTGAGAGGGTGGTTTAAGGTTCACAGAGGGTGAGTACGCAATCAGCCTCCGCAAACGCGTGAGCTCACCGTACAATATTGCAATGCATATTAAACACATCCCATCATCATGAAACCAACGTGTTATCTATTTATACCTGTGTATAGGTAGCGCTGTATTAGCGCAACTCGATGACTCGATTGATCTGCGTATATTTATTTTTAAGACATTTAAGATAGGTTGGCTGCCAGCGCAGGATTCTAGTTTCACGCTCTAATAATGATTGCATTTTGCACTGGTGCGCATCACACCATACGTAATTAGCATTGCGACTCGAGAGTAATATGTGCAGAGGTGTGTGCATAATAAACAATCTGTTGCATAGTTACCAATGCACCCCGACTGCAAATGGTAGGATGCTCATTCGGATGTGTTGGTGCGCGAAAACTAGGCGAATAATGTGGGTTCGATATGTGGTGTTTGGAGGGCGGCGTATCGCGAAGCGCATTATCGCTAGCGCTGCGAGTGCGTACAACACCACCACCACCACTACACGCTGATGGTGATTTCCATCCGAAACTATTATTATCTCTAATTAAGCATCGTTTATGCACTTACTTGTGTCCATTGCGGCTGGCGAGATGCAGCGGCGTGTGTGGAAACACTGTGCCAGGTATAACCCGGACCATCTGCTGTATTAATATTGGATGCATACGGACCAATAATTCGACAGTTTCCAATCTGCGGTGGATAATTCGCGCGAAACGAGATGATTAGCGTTACGGATCGTAATGAGCTCGTTCGGTTATCTTACCTTCCGTATTGCGCGGCGAGGTCGAGCGCATTCTCACCGCGAATGTTTCGCACTCCGGGATCACAGCCACGTTCAAGTAACATGCCGACCACAATGGTGTGGCCATACTGTGCGCCGCAATGCAACGCCGTTTCATCATCCTTCGTCTGTAAATCAAATATCAAACATGTTTATATTTGTTTTTATTTTTCAGCAATTGAAAAATTTCCCGGCGATGGCTTTAAAAAGTTTATAATTATACATATTCCACGAAGTTTGCGGAAAGAAAAACAGAAACAGCTAAGAGCATCAACAGAACTCGACGCTCTTGTTAGAAAAACATAAGCATGACTCGCGGATTTAAAGGAAAGTTTAAGTTTTAAATTTTAAATAAGTAGATCGCGAACTGAAGCGTATTCCCCGCGTTTGGGTTCGCAACACACAAAAGTGAGAACGAAGGAATGGTGAGTGAACGAGGCCTGTCAGCAGCAGCTTTAGTGAATCCGTCAAGAAGCGGCGCGCTGCAAGTGGCACATCGCATCCGAATTACACGACGGTCCAGTGCGTCCGGGTGGCGTGGAATTGAAAAGATCATGCCAAGTTTGCATTCCCGAGGAGAGGCTTCGCTTTTTTTTTACCCCGAGACTTCTTTGCTTTCGGCTGCGGTGTGCTTTGCGTCGGCGGATAAAATGTATTACTGTATACATCAAAAGTTACTTCAAAACTTTCTCCGCGGCGGGCGCAATGTTAATTTAATTGAAAACCATCCCGGAGACCGTGCAACCAAGTAGTTGTAGTCGTAAACGTCGCTCACATCCTTGCCAGCAACATTTTGAGATCTATACGCCATCGACGACTCTCGAATGCGCATGCAATTTGATCCTTATCGGTTAAGTGCCCCGTTCGAAACGTCATTGTAGGTTTGGCGACCGAGGGGAGGGCGACTCGCATTCATGACGACTGCCAGGACGTGTGTCACTACACCAAAGTAATGAGGGTGAACATCGCGCTAATTAAGATCATGAATGGTATTGACGGTCAAAAGGTTACTCAAGTGGCTAACCTGAAAGGACCTCAATTCAAGTGATGCCAACTTTCAAAGCGCGCGCGCAAACATCAAAAACCTTACTTACTTATCTTAAATATTAATTTAATTCTATGATTACCTTTAAATTGACATCGCATGTAATGTGGGCATTGAGTAATAGTTTGACGATGTCCGTATTGCCGGACCACGCGGCCAGATGCAGCGGCGTGGATCCTTTGCTGTCGATGATGTTCGTATACGCATCGTGATCGAGTAGAAGTTTCACGATCTCCCTGCGAACAGCGTAAGTTGTGCCCGTTTTGAGCGCATTCCGGATTTGACCTACTTGCGAGCTGTGACTTACTTGTGTCCGTTGAGAGCCGCGTGGTGCAGGCATGAGAAGCCGCTGCTATCCCTCGCGTTCACCCCGGGCCCTCGGCGTAAACTGCAAAGACATTTGGGGTGTCAAGTAGCAATAATTGTCAATGGAAGGTATACTATATTTATTGTCTACACAAAATCCACCCTAATAATCCGAAAATCTCATAAAGCAAACGTCAGGATTTATTGACAATCACTTCTGATTGTATGTTATTAAATAGACGTTATACTTATAACTAAATAAATCACGGGGAAAAAAATATTTCACCGCAGTCGGTAGGATTCGAACCTACGCTCCCAGAGGGAATCTGATTTCTAGTCAGACGCCTTAACCGCTCGGCCACGACTGCTTCATGCTTGCTAGCCACCAATACACATTATATTTGTAAATATATATAATTTAGAAAGTATTTTAGTGAAACTTTTTTTTAATGTGTAAGTTTAACTATTGGCAGATATCGTGTATGTCCCGTGACAGAAAATACGATCGATGAGCGTTCAGTTCAACTCGACCAAGAGAGCATGAAGCGGCAGAACTTCCTGCTCCACCACACCCTACCATAACACTTATCAAGAGGCGTATGTGTGAGCATTTAATAACCCTACAACTTTCACTGGTCTCGTTAAAAATATTAAAACGACCTTGCTGGACACTTAACAAAATTAGTTCGTTTTCATGCAAAGCATTCCTATTACACACATATGTATCGCATATTATTTCGTGGAATTGAAGCATTTTAACGTGTTTTTATTGAATGCATTCAAACTAACTAAACTTATGACTCATCTGGACTTAAATATTAAGTATAGAATTGTATATCTGGTATGACATACTTTTTTGTTACTTATTCTTATGACGCAAGGCGTAAACAAAACAACTGAGTGTAGCTATGTTGCTATGGGTTAAAAACATGATTTTCAAATAGGGAATATTGAATGAAAAGCACTTTTGAATGCGATTAGCAGGTAGCGGTAGTGAATAAAAGCGCCGGGACAAGTTGTAGTGCGTACGCCCGCGACAGCTGATTGAGAGAGCACCCACCTTGCAAGGGGGCCACTCCTTTTGGCCCTTTGGCCGAGTATCTTCTCGACGACAGCTACATTGCCGTTGCGAGCAGCCTCCAGCAGGTCCTCGTCTTTCCCCATTTACGCCACAAGTCACACGCGCTAGTCACAATTGCAGCGTAACATTATTAAAAACACTTATCGTGTACACTCGCTCGTACTACTGTTCATTGATCGGCGGCTTCGCCATATTGTGCCCGACGCGCCTCTGCCAGACGCGGGCGGCACTACTCGCTACAAGTGCAGCGAGCGAGCGAGCCGAGCGCGAGACGCAGTCGTGAGTTGAAGTCGAAGCAGCACCAGGGCCGTATCACGGTCGGAATAGAAGAAAATTTGAATTATTCACTTCAAAACAAGTAAGAAATAGCGATAATTTCAGTATTTAAGCATGTATGCTCGTGTATTTTAAGAATAAATGGTTGATATTTACTTTCATAAGCAAGTAAATATTATATTTAAGTATTTATTATATAAATTGACAGGAAATTGGTTTTATTTGATTACTGTCATTGTCAAAATGAATAAAACTATTGTTTTACTGCCATAAAACACAAATGACAATTATAGTATTATTCGATTTACATCTTTTAGATGAAAATCTGTAGGTTACACACATAAAAACACCTGAAACTTTAATTTTACGCATTAAAATTGGATACATCTACTTTATCGGGTTTTAAGTGTGTAAAATACGCATTTTAAACACTCAATTGTAAACAAATCGATGATTAGTATGTAATACAGCTTATAAAGTGTCAAAATGTCCATTTTACATCAAATTTAATATCAGACAATGTAATTAAAGTGTAATATCATTTTCTGTTGCGTGAAAAGCTAAGAAAATTACTTTTGAAATTGTTTAATAGTACAAAACCATTTTATATCAATTTCTGAACATTCTAATAACTAAAATTATATTCAATATGTACAATTGCAGCGTGAAATGATACTTTTTTGCATTAGTACAAAAAGTATTACATTATTCATAAAAAATTTCCCATCGCCGTTGTTTTTAAAAGAATATTTAAAATACGTTCCTGTTAAATAGTAGCATGTGATTGACCTTCAACTCACTTGCTCCTATATGAATTTCTATACACTTCATATCTCCGTCCGAGCTTGTATTCCGCTGATTCAACAATTTGTTTATTTCCTGATGTGTGATAACGTGCTTATATTGTTTTCGCCTGCAAAGTACGAAATATCTTGTTAATGAAATATGTTTTAAAGAACAATTCAGTATTGAAGTGTTGAGTGCGCAACGCTGTTCACGATGACATCAAATAGTTTCCTAATCTACGCGATATTAAGCTTCTTTGTTGCCTGTGAGGTTAGCTGTGCGTCGGAGTCGAAAGGTAATCAAGCACTTTGTACTTCACAGTAGTATCTACAGTAAAATGAGAAATGCTTACAGATGTTGCTCGAATTATTGTAAATCAATGTGAGAATTGTGAATCGTCAAGTTATCAGTATGCTACAATTGGTAGTAGTGAATATGATTCAAAAGACACAATTCAGAATATCCGTTTGTCTGTTCCAATAAGTAGTTACTTTTATGTGATCCAAGTGCATAGCTATTTGGAATCGGTGCTGTTGAGTTATGACGCTGAACCAACGGTTGCAACTAGCGTTCATGGCACGAATGTTGGCTTGAATCAATTCACTCATGATAAGCCTAATCATACGTTCTATTTGTTTAATAATTTTACTGCTCCACGTGAAGTATTAATCGCTGTTACGTCATATACAGGCTCAGGTAAAGTATAATTTTGTTTAAAAATTATATTTTAAGTGTTACAATGAATTGTTATGTTGCAATAATATGACAAAAGTTTACATTTGGCTTCGAATTTATGTTTATAAACTTAAAAGTTTTACAAGGGAACAAAAAAATGCTTTTTTTAATTTGCGTGCATAAAACTCGCATTATACCACTTACACAATATAATACACAATAAAATTATAAATAATTAGCCGTCATCCGCGAACTTCATATCTCTACATGAAATTTCATTGAAATTCGTGTCATGTATTAAGGTATTTGTTCAATTGAAGCTAATTGAAGTGATTTGCTTAGTTTTGTTGCACTACTTTCTGAGTTAGCTGTCAAAAACATAACCTAATCTAAAACATTTTTTCTCTTTAATTTTTTCTTGTTTTTTTTTGAATATTGCAGTGTTTTAATATTAAATCCGATTTTCTGCTATTAAAAATGTTATACATTTTATTTTAAATTATTCATCTATAAATTTTGTGCTTTCCAGCTACTAATCTATACAATAAATATAATCCACGTAATGTTTTATTACGTTTTACCAAATTATTGTGCCAAATAACCGCATGTACCGATGTAGTTAATGCAATTTAAGCAAATAACAAAATTAATTGGATATAAACCTATGTTTACAATCAAATATATTGTGCATTTTGTTAATCATTTATTTTATTCATATTCACGAGAGTTAATATAATAAATCCGTAGCCCCAATGCCAGGCGGCTGTAATATGGAATTCAACACGAAAACTGCGCCTTATCAACATGTTGACTACAATGACGCGTTGATTACCGTAGACGTGCAGAGTGCATCACTTTATCAGCAAACTTGCGACGTACAAGGAAATATAACTCTTGATTTTTATCTACTTTTTGTGAATAATGGAGATTTACCTGTTAATGGCTCATATAAAGCTATTATTCAAATGTTAACGGTCAAATCGATCAAAATATATGGGCATAAGGTATAAAACTCATCAATTGCATTTTGTGTGCATATATTCCCAACTACCAATTTTATTACTTACCAATTCAGTTAATATAAAATATATGTACTTAATATTTTGGTAGTGGGGAATAAAATTCGGTTATGTATCACAGATTTTACAAGTACCTATAACTTATAGGTTATAAAACCGCCAAGTGGTCCACTTCTACGAAGATATTTCAGCAATTATCAAGGTTTTGGAGTTGTATATGCTGTTATTGCAACTTATGGAGATGCAAGTTCCGCGTATGTTCCATCATTTACCTATGGCTGCAATATGCAAAATGGCAAAGAAAGTTGTTTCAGCACGGGTACAACATAACCTAATCTAACCTACCTGATGAATACTAAACCTAATCATTAATTTTCAGATAAAACAACTGAATGGATCACAATGGAAGTCACAACATCAATATCCTTATTCCTACTTTTAAGTTCATTTACAGCGTTTCTGGTACCGTTTTTCCAATTCGGATATTACGCCACCGACGCAATATTAATGTTAATCGGTATTCCATACTCACCATTTATTTACATCGCCATTGGAGCCGGCGTTGTTTTGGCGTGTTTACTGGGCGGATGCTCAAAATGGTTTGCAATCGATAATATCATATTGAGATTATACGCAGCACATATCTTAACAGCTGTCATATATTTTGGAACAGCTACAGGTACGTACTTGTAAAACCTAACCTCAAATCATAAAATTTTAATGAAATATGATTACCTATTTCAGGAGATTTTGAATTGTGTCAAACTATGGGATATTTTTGGATATTATATGTTGCACTTATGATTATGATGTTGGTACCAGTGCTGGATGGAGTTGCTAAATATATTAATGTCTGTTTTCATACGGTATTAATGGTGGATTCACTTGTTGGCAATGGAAGACTAATGTATTTCAATATAAATTCAGTCCGCAGGGCTGCAGTTTCAAACTTTTATCTTGCTAGTTTGTATGCACCCAATCCATCAGCCCTATGTAAGTTATATATGCAAATAATAACTGTTTTATTTGCAAAATAATAAATTCGCAATATTTTTGTTTTAGCGATTGGTTGTATTATACTTATTGGTATTTCATATTTAATCAGTAATTTTATCAGACACTGTAAAGGTACCAGAAGGGTTGTGGGTGAAGCAACTCCATTGCTAGGGTAAATTCATATACCTACCTTTATATTTGCATTCACTACCTGCAATTTGATAAAGAATCTCTTTGTTGCATAATAATAAATTGACACATAATATTTTCTTATGTTTCTTTTATTTCACAAGTATACGATAATTGTATATTATATGTATACACACTAAAAACATGAATGTATCTAATACTATATTATTTCAAAATCAAACTTAATCACAGCAACAATGATCTGTCAATCAATAAATTACGACATTTACATAATGATCATCTTCATTTTTCACTTTCAGGTGCTACAACCACTGGTATAAAATCGGAATAAAATCAAATTTGTGTTTTTTGTTTTGTTTTGAAAAAATGATTATTACTTGGTACAAAGCAGAAATCTATCGATTTTTTACTTCTCTATACGTCTGAAAACTATCTCGTACTTTTTCCTATACATATACATTGGAATTATTGCTATTAAATCCGCGTAATTATTGCAATGAACCATTTTATCATTATTGAATTGTTATATTAATATGTACAATGTACACACGCGCAAATTTACGTCGTCTCCACGAAGAACTTGCAAGTAATTTGTGCTCGTCGCTCACTATAAGGAAATAGAGGGTATTTATACTTGTAATTCGTTCCTATAGCATCGTAAAACTCGGAATTCAACACACAATTGCGATTATATTTACATAGTACCCTGAACCGCCCGGGTCGGACGTTTGTTAAAATTTTTGGTAATTAATATTTGCTGTAAAATTGTTTCATTTCTTTTTTTGTGTTTGTATCTTGGGCACCGTTGGTAAAGAGTAATTAATTAAATATTTCGTTTTTGTATTTAAGTGGACTCGTGGCTGGCGTCCTGGGCGCTCACGGTCGCTGGCGGTGTAATGTTGCCGTGCAGACTCGGGTTGTCCACCAGTAAGCTGGGCGGCGGAAACCCGAAAAGTTGAGATCACTGAATGCGCGGCCAATAGTTCGACGCCGCTAAGTTGGAGGACAGCTCAGAGGTCTGGTTGGGAATTTGTACTGGCACAGATACTCCAGCTGAAATGACACCTGTAAAAAACATGTTACAATTGAGGTGAGATGTGAGATTACTTCCTTCAATAGGAGTCGACTATATGTTTTAGTCTATGTGTGTGCGGTGGGTTCACCGCTGTGCGTATGTTTGTATTATTGTACACAAGTGAGGTTTGGGGTTAAGTGGGTTCCCGGGGGAGAAGATACCAAACGAACCTTGCAACCAGAACAACGGTATCCCCTCCTTACTTTAGTTCGCACATTATTGAGCGCCTGCCGAGTCGAGAATTGGTAACCACCCTCGACGAACACTTTAAACTGATCACGGACAATGAAATTTACGGCCGAAGGAGAAACTGCTAAAGTTGCTCCTTTCTCCACGCCGCGGCGGCGGCGGAACGGCGCACAGATAACTCGAAACTTCCTTCTGTGTATGCGTCCCGTCTGTTTTGCTTTCACCGCCACAGCACTCGCCATCTTTCTCACCATCATTTTTTCTTTTCATATTCTCTCCAAGCGACAAGAAAAAAACAAAAAAAGAAGAAGAAGATTCTTTTGTGTACTTACCGGTTCCCGTTGACGGCACCGACGTCGGCGTGCCCGATGAGGCGTACGCCGGATGGCTGGACTGTTGTGCGTGCGCCACCACAGGATTGCATGCCGCCGCTGCCGCCCGCGAATTGTACGACGAGCTGAGCGAATGCAGGGGATCGTGGAACATGTACGGATAGCCGCTTGGGTCGCGCTGCTGGAGACAACTGCTACTTAAACCACCAGACATCGAGCTGCAAGCACGCAAAGCAGAGAAGACCAAAAATGAATAATTATATATACACAGAATATATGAGTGAGTAGCGGTCAGGTGTCACGTCGTCGTCAGATTAAACCATCAACTAACAAAACAAGAATTTATTTCTTCTACAAAAAAAAAAAACAAGTTACCTGTAGGTGTCTGCCATTGTCGCAATGGGTTGTGGTATCGACGAGTACATGGAATTGAACCCGGTGTTGATGGGCAGTCGGCCACTGGATACCGGCGGACTAACAGCAACTTGCTCAACAGCACGCCGTTGATTCCTTAGTTTTTCCTCTCTGCGCCACTTGGCACGTCTGTTGCTGAACCAAACCTGCACACAAAAATGAAACAAGCACATTTTATTGTGTTCCGCCTGCATGGGATAGCTGAGATGTGGAAACAATTCCCAATGTGATTTATGATCGCGCGCCGAGATGGTGTGGCTGTGCAAGAAATATTTGCCCCGGAAAATAGCCCACACATTCGTAAAATTAAACGTCCGTTTGCACGTGTGGACCATTTTTCATTCAGACAAATATCTAGTTCTAACGCGTGAAGAAAAAGCGCAAATTTGCCGCACGCATAGCGCAGCTATAGAGAGAAGGATTCCGAAAATGGGGGTATAACCATCAGGGCTGATTTTGGTTCGAAAAACCCGTCGGGGAGGTGATCAATACCAAAACCCCGGCAAACAAGCACTGAAAACATGCGTCAACACCACGGCCGCCTCGCAGTTTGTTCATATAGTATATACATTTGTACGTTCCCGTTGTGTATTCCGTGTTATATACGCGAAAGATAGAAAGAGCGAAGTGCACGTGCCGCCACCACGCAGCCGGGCGGCGGCGGCAGCGGCGGCGGCAGGCCCGTGCAACTAGACAAGCTGTGCGAGTATTTGCACCCCTGCCAACCTCCCCCTCTCGACGTCGACGACGACGACGACGTCAATCTGCGTGTGTACATTTTCGCACTGTGTACACATTATTTACATGCAATGATAAATATTATGGCACGAAAGATCAGGCGGCAATCGCGCACCCCACACACAGCAACCACCACCGCTGCTTGCTCTGAAGTGCCTACTTCAATGAGCATGTGTCTCACGCTGAAGACCACCCGGTCCTAATATTATTTATTTGCTAAAGACTTTATTGGCATATTAATGCAAACATTCATACTTTGAATGCGCCTGTTAAATCTATGCTACCTAATATTGCGTAATAGCGGTTACGAGCGCACGTTTTTCCATATGTATACGTATTCATTAAAACCCCGAGCGTTGAAAGCTTTCAAGTGATGAGAACGAAAATGCGAATTTACGAACGCGCACGCCTCGCATCCGTACACGAGCCACCATCGTGCGTATATTTCGGTATGTGTGTGTAAATATGATGTATGCATTTAATTCCATGTAATACAAATGGTTTTCCGAGTTTTCCAACGGGCGTGCTCGCGATTATTTATTTATTAAATGTGAGAGATGACTGTTTCGATACTTTTTGCTTTTTTTGTTTGTGTAAGTTTTTTTTAATTTTTTCGTTGCTTTTAATTTGCGTAGTGTGCGTTCGGTACTACGTAAGTACGTATACGTGTGTTTGATAAAGAATGGTTACCTGGATACGTGCCTCAGGTAATCCAATTTTCTCCGCTAGCCTTTCCCTGGCGAAAACGTCCGGGTAATGTGTGCGCTCAAATTCTGGAAATTAAATTTTCTTCATTAGTTTAAACGGCCGTAAACAATTACTTTGTCACGGGCTTTTGTCAACTTCCCAGTCACACCGTCTACGTCCTAGAGGACACTATATTTATATACTGTTAGTTTAACCATAGTTTATTGCATATTATACGTGGAAAATGATGTTTGGTGTTGAATTTTCGCAGAATAAAATAATAATTCTTAGTATTTGAAGGTTACCTTTTTCCAAACTGTCAATTTGTTCGTTTGTAAACGAGGTTCGATTTCGCTGCAGTTTCCTCTTCAAGCGTAACCGTAATTGAGAATCTTCGTCACCCGATGAATTGTGCTCGGAGTTTCCATCTGATGTATTCTCGTGAAGAATTTCTGGGAACCAAAAAAAAAGTTATCAGAATGTTACTACGCACTAGTAGTATAGTAATATATTTTCTTCATTGTGTGCCGATGCGTTTTTGCTCCACTCGGGTTAAAAGACGTAAACGTTTTCTTGGATATTCGGAAAATCTTTACGAGCGCTCGTAAAATACCCGCGAGTTGACGTTGTGAGGCTAGAGCCGCTGTGCGCACAACTACAGGAAGTTAATTTCGTGTGAGGTAAAGTTGTAAAAATTATCCCAGAAAACAAAAGTGTGCGACATGGGATGGAGGGCAAGTCGAGTATCAAAATAACACGAACAAAACGGGCCTAGTCATTCCGGTGTGTTGCGATGTCCTTCTGCGTTTCCCACCACCGCTGCCGCCACCCCCGCGATTCTCGCAACCCTCTTTACTTCCGCTTCTGTAAACTCCACCCCATTTCATATCCACCCTCGCCATTTCATTCTCCTTGTTTTATTTCATCTTCTGATCCTATTCCCCGCCGTTCGGCCGCTTCGCTCGGCACCAGATAAGACTTTCCCCATTTGCTGTTTATGTTTTCCACAGGCGAATCTCGTTACGCAAATTTACATAATTTTAGATTTTAGCAATTTTCACGATCGCGAAATAACAGAATTATATTTTATATATTTGCTTGTGTTTCTTGGCGATATTAATATCGTACATTCGCTTACCTCGCTTTTGAAGATCATCTCGTGTGATTTGACTAGTGAGTGCGGTGGGTGCCGGTGGTAAGCTGAGATGCGGCGTGGAAGGTGTCCCCGGATACCAGGCCCAGCCGGCAGCCTGACCATTGAACATTCGCAGCTTATCGTAGACGGATTCGTTCTGTGCCGTCGCCTGCTGCTCCTTCTGCGAGGCCAGATTGCGCAGTACCCGGTTGATGGAGGAGACCTGTGTGCAAAACGGAACAATACCCGAGCGTATAATGTTACCATTCTGCAGCGGGCCAAAGCCTTCGGAAACAAAAATTAAGCCAATAATGTTGATTGTGTGCAAGAGTGGCGTGGACGCAATTTGGAAGCGTGCAACACGCGCAACAATTCAACGCCAGCCAGTCAGCGCCAGCTTACAATATCCGAGGTGTTGTACTTCCAGTCCAATGATCCTGGAGAATAAGCGATAATAATGCGTGCGGGGTCCTAAGCCAGTTACCCCCGTTACAAGGGGTACAAATATTCTGCATCTGGCATATATTATGTTTGCATACATTCGTTTTCCCACAAAAAAAAAAACATTGTTGATGTGGTTCACCATTCAGATGCTAATTGATGCAGTAGCGTGAAGAATATGTTCGAATTTTAAAATTATAAGGTTGTCGCGCGATTTTTCGATGATTTGCGTGTGGTTAGCGATGTGTGTGCAGGGATTATCATTAAGATGGCATTGTCTCCGTAGAAATATGCCCGAGGTAACAATCATGCGGTCTACCGAAAAGGGGAAATCACCGTGACCGTTTTCATAAATTGAACAATTTAATTCGCTGAAATTCAATTACGTTTTACGATAAATTTCTTTTGAGTTCATTTTGAAATTCCCCGTTATTACCGACTGCGAAAACTAGGACCAGAGGAGCAGGAGCCGAGGACGGCGCGCACATCCCGGTATAGCTGCGGGGACCGGGATCCCTCAATACCAGGCCTCGGCTATTTCACATATGACCGATCACGAATTGTGCAACACGCTTAGCTGACTTCATTCAAAAATTTCGCCTCTCGCGTGCCCCTTTTTCCCCCTAGTTTTCCTGAATTACAACTACGTATAAATCATTCGCGTCCTTGTCTGCCTCGGAGATAGTTCCGCACGTTCTTCGCACATAAAACAGCGACACAACACCGCTGGTAACCTTAAAAAATGCGAACGCATTTCATTCCCTGAATGTGTTTGTTGAGTGAGTGTGTTTGTATGCTGTCGTCACCAGTCCATTCTCGGTTGACATGTGCGGTTTTCGAACGAACAATAACGTGCGTGCGCGTTTTACATTAATTGTATTACGCCTAATTCTTGATTCGATGGTAATTTAAAAATAAAATCAGGCTGCTAAAAATGCACGCGGCTAATTGTTAATTTTCTGCTTGCATGATGTGCTCGCAGGGCCTGACTTGCAATAATTTCCATCAACTTGTGTGTGTGGAGTGGTGTAGAGATGCGACGGCATTTTCGGCGGCGGAATATTTACGCATTGCAGACGGCTGACTGGAGGGCTGGAAGGGCGCCCGCGCGCGTTGTGTGGCGCGCGAAGACTATATTTGTCGGTATGTGAGGGTCTAGTTGCTACGGTAACCACCAGCCGGGGGAGGTGTGTTGGAACGCAACCGAGGGGATTATAAAAATAGATAGAGATTACAGAAAATGGTGGACTACTTTGGTTCGCTCTCCGTTTCGCTGGAACCCGTCGAGCTTTTGCCCGCCGCTGCGTCGTCCCTTTTACGGCCAGGATACGCATCGGGAGAGCGAAAAAAGCCATAAAAAAGGAGTGGACCGGGGGGCGAATAAAAGAAGCGACCGCCATCCTCTCTCGCGCGCGCGCGCGCCCAAAACCATAAAATAAGCAGTTTAACGAATGGAATTCGTGATCATGTTAAAAATGTTCGATCGCTGCTATCTCCGGCGTCGAAACGGGCCCATTTACAGACGTTTTCCTCCTTACGCTGGCATTTCCTCTTCACATTCGATTGCGTCCGAATTGTTTGACCTATCCGCCGTCTTGTTCCTTTTCGGTTCTCCAAGTAAAAGTCGACTATTATTGCGACACGGGAAGTAAGTGTATTGTCGGTTTTTATTGCATGAGCGCATCGAGTGCACGCTAATAAATTCTTAGATGCGAGCGAGAGACGCTTGGCATTTTTTCGCGTGACACTTCTACTTAAACCCGCCAAGTGCACGGCGATTTGTACGAGTTCCCGGCTACTCCCAATCATCCCGATCATGTGTACACAGCTGATTAAGTGTTTTGCTTTCCGCCTTAATCGCTATTTAATCAATGATTCGCGAACGCGAGGACAATAACAAAATCGCGCAACCAATCGCGGCGTGTTATTAAATTTGCCGCTGATTTTCGTGTAAACAAATCAAAATTTTCCGATAAATTTGCGCGTGCGTGCTTAATATAATTTCGGCGCTTCCAGTCTCCCGGCACGCATCATCCCGCAACCAAATTGGAAATGGTGGGCACGCACAAAAACCACTATTGGCTTTATTTTTGCATCAAAAATAAAAAAAAAATTCAAAATAAAATTTCAACTCACGCTAGGAATATTGTCGTTGTTGCACACTCCTTCAGAAAGCAGCCGGTCTCTAATCTCCCAGGCGAAGATGGAGGGACATTCACGCTTGTAGTCGGCGATTTTGTCAACAACAGGTTGAGTTGCTACCCGCGGTTTGGAACCGCCAATTGCGCGTGGTTTAATTGACCCAGTCTCGTAATATCTTTAATAAATCAAAAAAAAGTTAAAAATTGTTTCATTTGAACGTTTTTTAATGTATTGCTTACCTGCCGAGTATTTTCGACACGCAACCATTGGACACCTGCAGAATTCTGGAGATGTCGCACGGCCGCGCACCTGAATGTGCTAACTCGACAATCTTCTGGCGGGTGGAGTCCGGCAGCGGGCGGCCGTTAACGTAAACACCGCCTAATTGATTGATGCCACTGTGGCCAGCCGACGAGCAGCCAAATATTGTGCTCTGACCCATTGCGTGATGCATTAGATCTTCTTCTGGAACAAAGAGCAAATATTGTACTTAGTGCGTGTTAGGGTTTTGATGGTTTGAAGGTGTGCGCAACGCTGGATTTTCATTATAGGAGATATTTTGCTCGAAGCGACGGCAAACTCACGAGAGCAACTTACTAACTTCGGAATCCTCCTCCCCTGAGCTAAGCCAGCGTCAGTGCATTGCTGTACTCAACGAATGTGTATGTTACTTTAATATGAGGCCTTCACCGCTCGGCACTAATCTATTCACTAATGTACCAACGGATTATAATGCACTTAAACCCCTTTTCATCCATTACTATATCCTCTTGTGTATAAACCACTTTCATTGTGTACTTGAACATTACGATCAACCCCAACTGACTTATTGGTACTTTATTATTGCCGATGACATATCAGTAGTGGAAAATTCAGTTGGAGGAAAGTTAGCGCTGGAAATTCATAAAGTGCGACTGTGAAAATGGCGGCGTCGTCGTCGGTGGCGCTTTGTTGACTCGGTAACCCGTGAGTTCGCGGCACTCGCGTTCAATTGCATTAGCCTTAACATTACATGGAGAATTGAGGATGTACCCAGACGTGAAAGCGCGGAGAGGGGTGCTCTTTAAACCGGCAAGATGGTGACAAGCTCGCAAAGTCGACCAGACATGAATTAATGATGACAGAGTTGGCGATATCGTGCCGGTGGTGATGGCGGTGGTGGTAGTAGTGGTGGTGGTGACGGGCGCCCGGAATCGCGTTTGCAACAAATTTCCAGCGAAAATTGTGTGTACGCGTTTCGATTTTTCTTTTCGGGTGCCATTCGTCGGCACGTTTGCTCGCCGTGATGGAGGCGGAGCGGGAGCTGGCAGCGTAGCCGCCACCGCTGCTGCCGCTGCCGTCGGTCGCGCGAGCGCTGTTTTTATACCAAATCGGCGGTTTTTCCTCTCTCGCGCATGTAAACCAAATTTAATATGTGTCCCATTACGCGCTCATCCGAGCGCACGCTCACCATGAATGTGCTGCGCGGTTCTCTCCGACGTGTAGGAATTTTTCGCCGCCGCCGCCACCTTCGCCACAAAATAATCGAAGCATCGACATTATTCGACAATGGATATTGCCGCGGCGCGCGTTTCAAGATATGAGTGATTTATCGAACGACGGCCTGAAAAGCGCACACATCACAGGTGCCTCACCACTCGCCGCCTCCACCACGCTGCGCGCCCTCGGACGAGAAAACGCGTGTGTGCGGTTGGTGTATTGGAAGCACCCACTGTGAAACGCGATTGTCGCAAACCCTCGCTCAGATTTTGCACTTTTCCATTCCACACCTACACCCGCACATACCATCGAATATAATAAATCTGAAATCCCTCGCGCGTACGCACATATCTCATATATGGTATATACCACCATATACCTATATATATATAGATATAGTACTATAACGAACGCGATTTCTATTCTATAGAATTGCGGCATCGCGCGCAAGCATACATAAGCAAGTTAGATCAAAATTATATTACCGACGCGGCGCGCTCAGAAAATCCGCTCTAAGCGACACACACAACTTGCTTTGGCACCTCAAACCCTCCCCCGATGCTACCAATCAGGGTGAACGCCGCCGCAGACCGCATGCACATGTGAAACGGATGGAGGAAGCGGCGGCGCCGCTTTGAAGGGGGTCGAAGATAAAAAATATCAGTTAATTGCAGTTTGATTACAGGACGCCGCGCGTGTGTTCATTACATTTTCATCAATGAAATGCCAACGACCACCATCATCATCATCATCCCTTTTGATTACTCCATCATATAAATAAATATGAAAAGATGTTACATACCTTTGTGCGGCATCTTCCAGAAGGAGTCTGGAGCCACCGCGTGGTCGCGCAGTGACAGTGTTTTCGTCGATAGGACTGGAGAAAACCCGCCCGGCGTCGGGACGGGTCCGGATGTTGCTCCCAGTCTGAACAATTGCACACACCTGCAAAACAATTCCGATATAATCTCCAAATTGCAACAATCAATTCAGTAACTTTGACAATACGCATAGATCTCGAAATAGTCTTCTCGTTTGAGGTCTGAACACAAACTCCACAAACTCCTGTCATGGTCAATGGTCATATATCACTCTGGCGCGTAAAAAAAAGCATCGTGCAATCACCTCGACACCTGTTTCGGGCAGCGACGGTAATCAATCAAGAATACCCAACACCACCACACAACAATCCAACCGGTTAAGTGATAAGTTCATCAAATATACCACAACGTGATTATTCCTCGGGAGATCAAATAGACGCAACCGAAAATTGTTTTTTAAGGCATTGCTTTTTGTAGCAGGGCGAATTGAAAGGATACGTTAAGTCGCTTTTTAGCATGTGCAGCAGGTTCAAAGCTTTTAACCGCGCTTTCATCCGCTCTCTATAACTATGTACATTTTTGTTAAACTTCCCGTCAAAGTGGAGGGCGCGTTAAGAGGCGCTGGTTTTTGTGTTCGCCTACTCGCAGAAGTACGCGCCTTTCAGCGATTGCAATAAAAAAATGTTATTCCATTTTATTTACACCTTTGATCTTGGGCGCGCTGCATACACGATACCAGAGCGCCTACATCATTAACTTTGTGCGTTTTGGAAAATCGTCGTGCGCGCGGTCGTTTCTAATTATTTGACAAGTGGTGGTTGTTGGGTGTTCTGATCCCCGCCGATTTCAATACGCTCCACTTCGAGCACATTTGAGGTCTTCGGGGGCGACCGTTTTAACTTTACGATTATATTCAAGTGCGACGGCAGCCGACGGATTTTTACACACAATGCAATTTTTTACATTTGTTGCACACTGAGTTTAAAGGAAGAAAAAATATTGAATGACTTACCGATTTAATAATAATTTGTGAAAATGTTGTGGTCGCAAGTCTCTTGTTGACACAAACACACACTACGCACCAGAAAATTCGCACGATTGATTAATTTCGTCTTTGACGATTTTTCGCTTTCAAGTTTGTGCGGGCGCGCGGAAGGAAATAAATAAAAACTCTCGCGTTCGCGTCGCACACTTAAAAGGACGCGTTATCCTTGGCTGAGTTCACAGACGGCGGCGGCGGCGATTCCGGTTGATTTGGCGGTAATTACCCGTTCGAACGTGGTCCGCTGATCTTTCGGCAATAAGCAATTGGACACGTGTTCTCCCGAGTGCATGCTACGTTACGTACGGAGCGTCAACTGTGCTGCCATGCGAGCGGGCCGAAGACTGGCTTCAGCACACCATGTCAGTCAGCCGTGTAAGGGTGACTTGATCCTGCAATTCTTGGCGGGCGTGGTTAACACGCGCGCCGCCCAGATTATAATTGAAGTGGGGCTTTTTTGAATCGGCCAGGATAACCGCTCTCTCTGGCGCGCGCGTCCCACTCCGCACACGTTGGTATCTTGCGTGCGGTGCGACCGGCAGGTAATCGATTGTGTGTTGATTGTGGCGTTCCCGCTGCCAGCCACGAGATGATTCATTAACCAAAGGTGTTTTAATATGCCTACATCACCCAGCGAAATTTTTTGAGTTGATTTTAAATATTTCCGATTGATTTTTTGGACGCTTTTATGCGTTGATGTTTCTCGGATTTCGTGTTCACGTGTTGCTACGACGTTGGTGGGGCGTGGTAGGAATATGCAATGTTCTTGCGCCGAGGATGCGTCGATTGGACTCCGGTAGGACGCCATTGTTTACGGCCGTGAAACGTCGCGACGGCGCACCAGCAATCGACGCTCGCCCGCAGCGCATTCCGCTCGACATTCGCGTCGCGACGCCAGCTACCAAACGACGCTCCCTGCTTCAGTGTTTTCACTCAAAATTTCAAACATTTACACACTATCAGAGGTACTATCTACATTTATTTTCTATTTCAAAAATCTATTTTTTTTTTCTTGTGCGTTTGACATGGGACCACACCAATTTGGATTTATCTACCTTTATACCTCACCGCCATTGTCTTCATCTCAGACAAATTGGGAACCGTAAACAAACACCCAAATATATCTATTATTCGAATACAAACACTTCCCTAAAAGTTGGTCAATATTTACAGCATGCCGATATAATTGTCGTGACAATAAATCGCTCAAGAGTAGCGGAAGTAAGGTATACGCACAGAGCACAACATACGCATCATTACTAATAAGCAAACAGCAGTCGGAGCCGCACACCGGAAGACCGCCATCATTTTGGTTATGAATGCATCGCAATACATCAACAAATTATTTATTTATCACACAATCGAGATCGGCACTCGTCGCTACGTTTTTGATGTTGCGCTTGACTTTATACTGATTCTAATCGGTAATCTGCTATAACGAGACGTTTATAAATGCACACTGTGGCTGTGTGCGCAGAGGCGATGCGGCGGCGGGCGGCTCGCGACGAGAAATGAAGCGCAATCGAATCGGCGCGTAAACGCAAAGAGGCGCCGCTCGAGATGGATGTTTTCAATTAAAACAATTAATTAACAGAATTGATCGAAAGGCCAGATATTTGCTGGATGCCATGAGGACTGTTTTAACAAAGTATGTTCATTCATGAACTTTTGCAGGTACTTGTAAATAAGTAAACAGCATTTTTAGCACGAAAAAAACACAATTTTTATTCGCCCACCAATGTAATGCCAAAAATATTATATTATATTTTAATTTATAACTTAGAAAGACTAAAAAAATTATTTATTTTTAGTGTAATTTTAATAAATTTATTATTAGGCATTAAATTTGTCTTTTTAGCATAGAAAAAATAATAATAAACAGAAGTAAAAAATTTGGAACAAATATTAATGATTTTAAGATTTGTGAATAAAGCTTTTTCTTTACTGCCTCGGCATTAAAATGCAACATTTTATCATAAAAAGTATTTATTTCAAAACTTTTAACTCACCGGTATCAATAATAATATTTGCACTTTTCCTAAGCCTTAATTTATCACTCAACTAATTAATTTTTACTTTTTAACTTTTATTATGCAATTTTACAGCTTAATTATTAAACGGAAACCGTAAACAGCTGAAAAAAGTGAAAACCGTGCTGCGGCTTCATCAACATTATTAACATTTAAATATTTCGTTAACATTCGCATGTGTACATCTCTGATACTGCATGATCGATCACTGGGGTTATTGTTACACGTATAAAGCGTTTATCGCTTGGCTTATTCATATTCACGCAACATTTATTCATTAAATACCGACTTTTACAAGAAACGCCTATATAATTTATTACAAAATCTCGTGTGCGCCAAGATATTCAAAGCGTTCCGTTTCGCCGTCCGGCTCGCATACAGGTGTTTTAATTTGCTTCGGTTTTTTGTACTTTTATTTCCTGACCATGGAAATTTGCTTCGCGCGGGCGAAAAGTGCGTGAATCTAAAATGCGTATCGTATGCTATTAAATTGAATTAAATAGTGATCTAATTTACATATATAGATATGTTATTCATAGAGGCAGGCTTTTAATTTGCTTCACGACTGTGTGTAAAGTGTGTGTGCTCCCCTTTTTGATCGCAGGCGAAAAGAACTGGCCGATGTATGAAACATCTATAACAGCATTTATAAAATCCATGAAGCTTACAACTGAAGGATCAAAACACCCTCATTCATCAGCTGAATAGGGAATGATTCGTTACAAATAACGCAAATAGACGGCGTAGAGCCCTTTTTACGCGTGCGGCAAAACGATGGTGCAATATTATAGGGGTTGCACACACGTTGCGACAACCTCGAGGCACTGTGTGCGCCTGCAACACGAGAAGAAGGCCAATTTTTGATTACGCAATGCTGCAGCACCCACACGCCCTTCAACAATTCAAGAACAATGCGGGAGTAACTGCTTTTATTTATCAGGAATCATATCTAATAGCATTCCGGCATGTTCACATGAAATTATTACATATTTCAATTGTGGCTGGAGAGAAAGATACCGAGGCATTAGTCCTCGAAAGCAAAAGAGGATAAAGTCGTCTCGTTTTAAAATTTGTATCTGTATTAAGTGTCGGTATGTACACTTAGAAAGAAAAACAACACAACATGCAGGCATGAGGGATGATCTTGCGGAGCCTTGATTTTTTTCGGTACCTTTTTCGTAATGCCGACAACTCGGCCTCTTTGAACTGAAGTATTTTTCTGTATAAAGGGATGAAACTTTACTAAGCCATAGAAAGAACTAGGGTTTTACATTATGGGGATTACATGGCAGGTATCAGTCGCTACCAATATTGCGGGTTTTCGAATTGAATGGATCGCTTCTAGCTTATCGTGACTTAAAGAACCACTTATACAGATAGTTTTCGGATTTGCTGTTTCTTTTCTTGCCGCTGGCTGTGATTACAATGCGTACACAATTGTACAATTTGCAAACGACACCGTTGAAAAGCTAAAAAGTTAAAAATTACCAAAAATCAACAATTAGGTATACCTACACCAATTTAATTACATGCACAGTGCGGTTAAGTAATAAATAATGCATTAAAATACCACCGCACCTTTCTAATTACCAGTTTATTACAAGTTTTGAGTATAAAAACCTCCGACGACTGATAAAAAACCATCAGTTGTTTGTTTTGACTAACAATACCAACCTAACTCACTCACCATGAAATCTATTGTAAGTTAATCAACTTTTTATTATATCTCTGCTTAATTAATAATAATTTATTAAAATTAGGTTGCCTTCCTTGGAATCTTGGTGGTTGCCACTGCATTCCCATTGGAAGATGGACATGTTGATGTGGAGGAAGATACCCTTGGAAACTACAAACTTAGCTATGACACCAAAACCGCCTCACGTACCGAACAGCGTTTCCAAGATGGCCGTGTCATCGGAAGCTACAGCTATGTTGATCTGGATGGAGTAAAACACACTGTCACTTACCTGGCTGCTCCCGAGCATGGTTTTGGAGCTGAAGGTGCTGATATCCCACAACCCGTCCATGATGATGCTGTGCCAGTCCCAGAATCCTACGAATTGATCAAGGCCCGTAATGATCATCTGACACTTGTCAACATGGCTAAGGCTCTTGGTCTTCATGAAGATACACCAGTACCCGCTGCTGCAGTCCTTGCTCGTTTGGGAGATGTACCAGAAATTGCATCTTTGCCATCCGACTTTGTCCCTTCAGTGGATGCTGATCATCTTGCTGCTAGGGCTGAGCTTCTGGCTGCATACTCTCACGCTCTTTCCCGCTTGGCTGAAGAATACCGACGAGTGTAAAATGTTTTAATACCACAAATAAAATAAAACTATTATATATCAAAGCAAAAATTATCGCACCCAATTCTGACAGATAGAAACATGCGCAAGTGAAGAAAGACGAGACAGGTGAAAAGGGGCAGGTAATATAATATCACAAAATACTCTTTTTGTGGTTGTAGTTTATCTGTGTTAGAAATCAAACTCATACGCCGAAATGTCAATAAGTTGGGAGGCAAAATGATTAGGTAAACGTGAGGCAAAAGCCTCGACGCTTTATTAACCCATCTGTCTTCTCGTCTGATACAGAAAGGATTAGTTTACATGGGATCTTGGGATCTTGGAGCGGCACGAAAAATCTGGAGCGAAATGCGCCAAGGTAAAAATTATGTTTTAGTTTTTTTTGGTTTTCTTTTTCTTTCTTTCTCTCTTCGGCAGCATCACCAATGCATTAATGCACATGTATATAAAGTCCAGATTATCTATCTAATTGAATTTCTCACTATCGGCTTGTGTATCTATCGGCTCGTCTTCTTTATACACACAACGCGAGTGGATAATATGCCGCGGTGTATTTTCAAAACTGAAAGGCAAAAATAATTCTTCGAAGAATTCCGAGAGTCACTCTGTGTGCGCTTTCTTTAAGCAATGGCCGCCTTTTGATCTCAATGCCCACAAGATACGCGCAGAGCGCTACCGGACTGATGATGTTTTATTCGGATTCGGCGTGTGTTGTGCGCCGGCCATTGTGGCAGCCGCGTTTGATTCTGCATTTCATTATATGAATTATCCAAGTTTGTAGCGCTACATTAGTATTGTGTGCATTGAAAATTAAATGTCTATTCATTAGCGGTACCTGGCTGCCTCTTCTAATCGAATAAATAATCCTCTCTCATTCCGCGATTGCTTTCCGGCAATTTACAAATCAAACATTTCGCCTATACAACAATCGTTTTTCTCTGATTAATTAAATTGTATCTAGTAGAAGATGTTGAAAATGATGGAATGTGTTGATAGCAAATTGTCGGCATTCGGTGCCTATCCACAAAGAGCATTGTGCGCAAGCGTATTGTGCTTACAGTTTGCTTATTGTGTGCATACACGTTGTGATTCTTTGCAAGTGTACAATACTGATCGTACAATACGGTTTTGTGTAGATGAAGTCAAAATATAATAGGTGCATGATTTCGTTTCTTCGAGTTTCTCGCACTGCATGGGAATGTTACTCCACATACGCACAGGTGCCAAATTCAGAGCGATAATATTTGGAGCGGTGGTGCAATCGAAATTGATACACGTTGACTCAAATCTAAAGGGTTGCAGGTCAGACGGCGCGGCGCGTTTAATCTCGCTGGGGAATTTTTCCAAGACGTGTACTTTTCGTGCGGCTGATTACAATGACATGTAGGAGTGCGTAGAAACAGTAAGACCACCATACGAGCGGCGAACGAGTATAAAAACGGCGCGTTGATCACTGCCAGCGATACACCGATAAACCCGATGTCATCCATCATCGTTCTGCAACGCATAGCAACGTGTCCTTTAATGAACCGCTCCGATCAATTGTCTACCACAGAAAAAACAACCGATCGGGCCGAGATTTTTTTCCATGTCAACTCGATATTAAAACAAATAATCATGGACGCTCTCGGCTTGTATGAAGTATACAACAAGAAGTAAGAAATACACGCATACATTGTCTTCAAAATTATGAATAAATATAAATTATTATATTCTTTTTTTGTTGTTGGCCCCTTATCAACCGAATTAGACGTGGCCCGTCACGTCAAATCAAAACCGGAGACGTGGATGCGCTCAACGTGAGAATGTGTGCGCGTATATTCAGCATCTCATGAATTTATTCAAAACCTCGACGGTTGCGGTCATTAGACCTGCACGATTGGTGCCTGCGTGTTGTACACGGCCGCAAACGTGTGCGCCCATCACGCCCGCGTGCGCCTGTGTGTATATTATTAAACGGTAGCAGTGAACAATTCAGTTTCTGCGTGAACGCACAGTTTCAAGCGGGCCGGCGTGCCGTCCACCACCGCCGCAGGAGTCTTAACAGGTAGCAACTGAAAGGATTGGCCTGTGTCTTCCTTTGTGTGGCGCACTGCGCACATACTTATGGCAAGTGTAGATCATTTTTTTCTTTGCTTCGCCTCCGCCTCTAGTCCAAACATTCGGCCCTCGCAGGGAGGTCTCGTTTTAATTTCACATCAATGATTCGTATCCCAAAAACAACAATAGATTTAATTTGGGTCACTTACAACATTTTAAAATGAAAAAAAAAAATTAAATTGGGTTTAATTAATACCTGGCTATAATTTGAATCATTTAGTAATTAAAACTTTGAGTAAATTTTGATCGTACGTGATTTTAATTACAGACTAATGTCATTTTCAAACTTTGTTAGTGCATCTTCCGAACTCATATGCACTTCTTCGATTATCAAACCACTTGAGCCATCATGCGAATGATTAAAATCCAGTCATCTAAGCGTAAGTATGCAGACTTACATCAGGTGCTTATATCTCGAAAAATATTCACATTTTACAAGTACAGGAATGCAATGCCTACTCGTACTTACAACTAGTACAATAAGCTTCTTACGATTCTTAGAAAGTATGTAATGTCATTTTCTTGCTACTGGTGTTAGAAGTGATTAATAATCAATAGGTAATAATCACCTCTTCTTTCGGATGGATTTGATAATCGCCTCTTTGAAATGTGACACGATTGCATAAAGACTTGTTTCGAGCTGCTCGTCTCCAAGAGCTTTTTCAACTAGCTGCGTACCTACTTAATAATTACCAGACAATCTGACGACACGACGTTTTCCTCCTGCATTAATCGCCTTGTTGAAATCTGGACAGACGAATACGATGGCTCAATATTATATGTTTTGTCGGCGCTTTTAAACTAGGCAATTAATTTTCCAATTTTATGTGTATACAAAATTGCTGTCAACAGAAATGTTTGCAAGGTAATAAATTCAACATGCGTTGACTTGTTTGAGAACGTCAGCGATCGGCAATGCTCTTGATTACACGCACGTCAAACAAAATAGACTCGTGAATGCCGACGAGCGTGTTACTTACCTGCTTTCTAAATTTTTTCGTCACTTTCAATGCGACACAATCATTATATGGACTTTGGCCAATGATGTCCTTTGTTGAATGACAATGATCTGTTTTTGTGTATCTTACGGACGAAGACCGACGATTTCTTTAACATTTCGTGTTTGCTGAGGTACTGAGTGACCATTGTCCACTACCTCTTGAGGGCATGAATTAGCTATACATTTCAAGTGCGTGATTCTCGTAAACGAGGAATAAAGCAAAGCTGCCGAAAATTTGTTGCTGCTTTGTGAAGCCGCTTATACAATGAAGGCGATATATCACCCCTGGGGTGATCGGTAGTATTATTTTCACGGTTTTGTTCATTCAAAGTCCCCTCGCACTTACAAATTTTTAAATGAATGGGTATTATAAGGTGGGAGAACACGATTCGATTCTACCTGAATTTTAATCATAAGCGAACCTAGGGAGACATCTAACGGATTAAAAGTGAGTATAAAAATATTCCAATCTGCATTCTACCGCCACCTTTACGCCAATAATCCAAACATATCATCGTCCTTGATGCAAACTGGTATCTACAGCAAAGGAGATAAATGTGAAATAAAAACAGATACCTAACATTGAATAACTTCGGTATCTGTCCTCTAGACGTAAAATTAAAAGATATTAACGAAATTATTTAATAAATTATTCAAATATTTCGGTGACACAAAAATTCATTGATTAAACTAAACTGGACGTTTACACAACGTTTATATTATCATGTCATTGTCATCGGACTGATATTTTTTGTCATTTCTACTATTTAAACGTCTATTGCGCGTTCATATCCACACGCAATTTGCATCCTTGACCAACTGAAGAGATATTTGTACATCGGCGGCCGAAAAACAACGATTTACAATTGGAGTAAATCGTAATTATCAAGTGAAACTTTCTTTCTGGTGACTACGTTGTTGTGGCAGTCCTTGGTGGGCCGGTCATAGACGGATAACAATCGGACAATGGTAAGTGTAGAAAGAGTTAATCACTGTTTGAAATCGTGAAGAAACACGTGGTAAAGTTATCAATTCAAACATGTTTAGCCTTCACACTGATATGTTTAACAATATGTTGATATTATAAACAGTAATTATTTCATTGCTACTAGTTTTTCAACAGTTTCATGTGTTAATTTGATAAAATCCGTTTTTGAGTTGCAGTACAACTGTTGCGAACGATTTTATGGTGGAGGGGAATTTATAGTCCATCGACGTAGCTATCCATGATACGTTTGCGTTATTTGTCGATAGGAATGGTAAGAATTATTTTTTTTATACATAATTATTTAAATATATTTCTACTTTTTAAATTAAAACAATTTTACTGGAAATAGAATTGAATAGAAAATGCAAAACATCCTGCCTATTAAATTATAATTTTTACATAGTAATAGATTCATTAAATAACTGAATAGGCCGCACAATTTTTTCCAACTCCTATCGAACATGAAATCATTAATCAAAATTGTTGTTATCTGCGGCACCATTTTTAAATTCAATAATCATAATAATACGAACGAAATTCCCCATTCAAACGCACACCATATTATTAAAAAATAAACAACAATAAACCGGAAATCACCGCATGAATACTGATTTTTAACATCTCACTAAACTTATTAGGTTTTTTAATTTATAAATCAATTTGTTCAACTTTCGTGATGTCTTCACTTTTATGCCTTAAACCAAACATGCGTGAGGAATGTATCACAGTAATTGGTCGCCGCAGAGATAATTATGTAACGATTCGTCTTTCTGTTTTTGTTGCTTGAATGTTGTATGTTGACCTTAGTTAGAAGCGCGCACAGAGCCAGTGGTGGACAGAAGGCATCGCATTCGTACATACTAGTTACTCGTTTAATGGTCATTAGCGCTCGTTTGCAGAAGGCTTTTGATGAAATTGATTATTGTACGTTTTTCTTGAAAGCGCACCGAGTCACAGTCACTGACACACACACACACATTTGAGCACGCATACCACTTCAGTTTTTATTTTATGTCGATTCTTGCAAAACATGATTGTTTTGGGATCGATCAGCATTAATCGCACAAGAGACACTTGCGCGTCTCATATTATAGTCAAGTAACAACTGTCAAGATGTACAGACGCTGTCTACCATCATCTCGGCGATATTCAACTACAAAGGTAATATCTAATAATTTGATTCATTTGAAATTTATAAAACTAGAGCAAAATTTTGCTATCTTGAAGAGGTTACTTAAAATAGTCACGAGTGTTCTCCGCCTTCGAAATTAGGACATCAAACGAATTAAAGTTTATTTCAAGCATCATTTCGTTATTTGCCGACTGTGTTTGTTGAACAGTGAAGACTAATGTAGCCGTAAGATGCAATAATGTATAAATAGTTGGCGATGATACTCAACAAACACATTTGTTTTCTTTTGGCACATTGCATCATTCGGAACGAGTTTTGAATCTAACTTTTAACAATATTTGTGCGCTATGAGTTGATATATAAAGTGCAGCAAGTCTCGAAAGTCACAGCGTTTAAACAAAGTCGTGCTTTGTTTTCGTTGCAATCGCCTGGAATAATTCAAACGCTTATGATAGCAAGGCGGATGATGGTTTTTAGCTGTTGCAGCTATAAATCCATATCGCACATCTGTGTTTTGCGTTTTATCCTGCGTGCGCTGTAAAAATTCGAATCTAGCGCAAAAGAATCGCCGCTGAGCTGAGCTGTGTGATCTATTGCGCAATTTGTTAGCATTTTGTAGACGCATCGTGATGTTATTAAAACGAAGTTTATAAGCCGATGCATACGTATTGAAGACCGCGACTGCTCGCATCCGGGCGCACATTTATCATGTGCAACAAAGAGACTTCACCACAGCTCTGGAAATATCATATGTGTGTGTAAGTCTGTTGCATTAAGGAGAATTGCGGCAAGAAGTGCTACATAATCAATTAAATTTATGTTGCAACGCTCAAAGTGCAAATAATTTTTCAAATGTTATTATATCTTCCTGCTTGCATGTAATTATGCATTTTTTCGCATCATACTATAAATGTCATTGATTTAAAAGCCAAGGACTTGTAAAAACACTGATGGGTAATAATTTTCTTTTTTATAGATAATCTTCAATTGTTATAAAAAAAATTGCATTTTTGAAGTTTTAGTCGTGTTAAAATAATTTTTATGGTTTTCTTAAATTATTTCTTAGAATTACGGCCATATTAAAATATTAATACTCTTCAAATTAAGTCCATATTATTCTCTTCTTCGTAGTGAATCAGTAAAATTATACATCGGTTTATTATCTTTATTAGTTTGCGAGTTATGCATTTTTATCTCGTGGTGATTCGAAAGAAGGAACAATTTATTTAATTTATCTATATGACTTTTAAATTAACATATAACTACCTATCTAATTAGAAAAAAAATAATGCTCATCTTGTAGTCCTTGTTATAATGTACAAATAACATTTTTCAGTTCTTGTTTCGTTCACAAGCAATTTTTAAATTAATTCCTCAGCAATTTAATTACCTGATCGATGACATATAGAAATCCAAGCACACAAATTATTCCTAATTGAACTTGATCACCTTGTGTCCAGTTAAATGAAGTAATAACTCTTTATGTAAAATAATTTTGACTTTGTTATCATTTAAATTGAATTACATTTTGTATACATATACGCAATTTTGCGCCAATTTGGGTCGTAACGTTCCCAGCATGTTTCCAGCAATTCGCCAAGCAAATTGTCACGAATCGAAAATTAGCGTACACTCACGTCAGCCGAACAACGTAATGTCATAATATACGTGTGCATTGTTCGACGCTAGAATGGAATTATGGAATGAAAGCAGCAGCATAAGTGCGCGTTCGTCAAGTCAGACGTGTAAAAAGTGCGTTTTTCACTTTCGATCGTTCGCTATGCTATAAACTAAACATTCGCTATTCGCTGGAACGCCGCTATTATAAGTCAATGTCATTTGTGCTTATGCGACACGCTTTTAATTACATCAATGGACCGGTTTGCTTCTTCTCGCGGCGTGCGCGCGCTCTTGTTCACAGGCCTAAGAAAAATAAGAAATATTCGTCGTTTGTGCACTTCATACTCGTTGGATCGTAACATATAAAACGTAAAAAAAGAAAGAATTGCGCTTGCGGAGGCGCATGCAACTGAATTGCAAAGTTATTTAATTAACAGCTACTTAGTATAAATAGTACAACGCTGTTGTCGGCGTTCGAAAAAAAATCTATTCGTATACTGCTACCGTACGCCCGTGTGCCCGCTGCGGTTTCGTTTCATTTAACAGATCGGCAACACTTTCGATTTCGATACTAGTTGCAGTGTCTGAATCGAGTCCAGGTCAGAAACGTCTACAAGACGGTTTCGTTCTCGTGCTGCGTCTCGTAACAGAGCGCTTAGGTCGCGTTACAACACATTCGCGTTTTTGTCTTCGAACTTATTATATTAAAGACAATGTTACTCACTGCTTCGAGCCACCGCTATTTGCTAATTGGATTTAGTTGAGTTGAGTTAATTGATTATTACCTACTCTTGGTATGTATTTATTTTTTTGGTGGAAAAAATTGTTGATCATCTATCTTGTACTGTTATGCTGTTTTGCGAGCGTTATTCACGGTTCGTTTCGAGTAGATATATCGTATAACCAGCCCACCAAGTCCACAAGGTCGACGATTTTGCAATAAGCTCTCTCAAGTAAAACTCATCAGTACTTGTACTTGTTATAACCAGCTGTATGTATGTCCTAAATAACAAACAAATTATATATGTAGAAATATGCACTCGGCAAACACCTAAAGGAATTTAAATAATTAAAACTTTGGATAACCTCGTTATTGAAAGTGTTTTTGATTTATGTGATAGATATCTAAGTGAATTATCTTCAAAGTTCTTCCTTTTTGTTTGGTTTTATCGCCTAGTGCTCATAATGCGCGTCTCCGCTATTAAGTCATTAATTATCTACCAAAAATAATTTATACTTCCTTGTAGATGTGGTATTAATGAAGTGTTGGAAATTTTTTCAACGCAAGACAACTTTCTTAGCAAATATCGTTGAGATACGATTGCTTTCCACGCGTTGACAATCAGATAAGTTCCGTATTTCGAAATTCTTGGGCAGTTGAGCGATTAAGACCGGTAGGCAAATGAATGTAATTATTATGTAATTTGCCAATAAAAGCACGATATAGGTACACGCAAAGTGGAGACACAATACATCCGCCTTAGTCTTAAATAGTCCTTTTATAGGATCACACATAAATTGTAACTGTTTTGAGTCATTTAAGTACGTAAAGTGTATAAAAATATGTTTTTCAAGTCAGGAAATCAATATAACCTCAAAATATAGCTATTCTAACCTTAAATGTCAAATATTTTAACAGAATAATATATTGATGACAGAGAAATTAATAATTTTCATTCTAAAGCTTTTTTCTGTCAAAAATTTGCTTTTCAAAATGACCAAAATGATTGCAAAGTAAAAATATAGTAGTAATAAGAGTATCCAGAAATGTCTGTTCCAAATTTCAGTGAAAATTCCAATCTAACTGTTTCTTATCATAGCGTAACTACGGAAAAACATTTTCCGTGAATTGCGTTAAACTTGCGGCAACTTCCCTCTCTACGACCACGTCGCGACGCGATTAGTAATTCGATTGAACCGTGCCTGACGGTCGCCGAATGCGGTGGCGCTTTTATAAAATTGTTGCGTTCTGTTCATTCAGTCGCGTTTGTGCAGTGAAAGTGTGAGCAGGATCGAGCGCGACGCGCAAACGGCAAACGCGAGGGTTACCCCGGCTCCCCCTTTTTCCCTGCGACATGTTTGTGTTCGGGCACTTAACTGCCTGCTGACACACACAGGATACCTGCGAATAGAAGTGATACTGAGCCCCACACCGGAACTGTCCAAACCTGGTCAATAATATGTACCAGAGCACGCGGTGCAACAGTGTTGTGATCGCGCCGTTTTCCAGCCCCTGCGCTTAGAATTTCTATTCGACTCCTGCTGCGACGCCCGATGACACATTGTCCAGTTTGCAAACAAAGCGCGCGCGCTGCACAAATATCAGGATAATAAAAGTTTTATTAGTGTTTTACCGTGATAAACTAGTAAATAAAAACATAAATATTATATTGTTTTCACCGCAAGTTCTACGTTTGTATCCATTCCAGTTTCTTATGTCACTAAAGTTGTGACTTAAGTTGTTTGGTAATTAAATAACTACAAAATTCGCACTATATGCTCTGGTAAGCGCTTGCATTTTGATATAGTGTACAATAAAATGAAATTTGGGTTGCGGGTTGCCGCTTAAATAATCGCTATTATACACAAAAATCATAATTTCTGATGCTTTCTCGTGGCGGCGCGGTCTCGCGCGTGAAAACGTGCGCGGTTCGTTTGCGTAATCTAATTGCGCAATTAAAGCACGTACCATATTCACTTTTAATTAGAAATTCATATCGACAAATACGCACCAAAGAAATGTAATCGCGTACACGGAATTGATACCTAAGCTAAAGACTCACATTCGCTACTGTAATTACGCACAAGTATGTTATTGTTTGATATTATCGTCGGTGCGATCATATCACATGCGCACATTTTGTTTGTACACATCTACGACCTTTACTCTTGCAGTTTTATTATAATGTAATCTCGCGCAGAAATCGCCGCAAGATTTGTTTTAGTCACTTTTCGAGTTAACGGTTTGAAGGACGGATAATTACAATCTCCAGCATGCGCAACAACTCAATGGAATTGTTTCATTATCGTACTGAAGCGAACGGTGGAAGCAGCAGGAATTTGTTTTACAGAATTATTATTTGTTGCAGGTGTCAGTTGCGTTTAGGATGTGGTGGCGTGCGCTGCTGCTCGTCATAGTGACCGTACTGCTCGTCGGTTCCACGGAAGGTGATACACTGCAGGTAGGACAGTCGATGGACTTGATGAGTCGGTATGGATACCTAGGAATAACAATGAAAGTGGTCGGGAGAAATGAATCCGACGCCGGGTGGATATTCAGGGAGCCGACTTATGATGTTTTTGCCAATTTGGAACCGCTCACAGTCCACGAGACACGCAGCGCTAAGAAAAACACATTCGATGGCGAATTTCATATGGAATTCTGTGATAATCTCGTGCAATTAATGCAGGCGTACTTCAGGGAATTCTCATTCGAAGGTTTGGATAAACCGTGGTTAGCGTTTACTAATGGTTGGAATTCCCCGGAGGTAATCGCGCGGAATATGGGTATAAATTCATCCTTCGTGCACAAAGATTACTGTTATGTGTTAGTGCGACTATCCCGATTTTGGGACACGGTGAAATTAGCTAGGATACCAAACAATGTCAACCTGCTGGATTCGATGGCACAAGAAATCAACAATATCTACGTGGATAATGTCACCAGTGTGCTGATGTTCACGAAGAGGGTCGGTACACATTACATCAATTCTTTCGTCACTGGCAACTCATTATATCAGGTAAATCACAGGCCCAAAGTTCGAGGTCGCGCTTGCATGGCATTAAAGTTGCATTTCAATTTCACTCGCTGCGGGCCCGACCTTGGTCGGATGTGCACGCGGCAGACTTTCTAAGCAATGACTGTTTTATTGTTCTCTTTCCAGGTGTTCGTCTACCGGAAACCAGTGTATCTACGAATTCGCGAACGGTTGAAGACGCGTGGCATATCGAATCTCAGTCCGGTCGAGTTATCAAACTTTTTCAGTCCGTGGTATGCGGATCACATGGGTCAAATTAAAGTAGCCAGCGGTAACAAGACAGTTCAGAATTGGGCGGCGCAAAAATTGGCCGTTCATTACTACATCTTCACTTATCCCAGCCTGTTGAAAATTCACGGTGATCCGAAGCTGTTGAGTGAATTGAACGGGATGTTACAAAACGAGGCGCTGCTGCAGTTGGAACTCAAAAGACTGACTCCCGTATTTAAAGACCCCGTGAAGCGTGAGTGGTTCAACGAGATACTTAGCAATTATCTCAACCTGCTGGAGGTGAACAGCTGAAGGACATCCATTGCGGTCGAATGTGTTTATTGCTACGTCACGTGATATACGTTTGTGATAAAATGGTACTTCTATAACCAGTGAAAAATGAACGCTCCTGCGTTCGTATTTAATAGGCACCTATATGTAATTACTTTTTTTATAATTTTATTATAAACATGTCAGAATTACGAGAATGCGTTAGTCGAGTAGTGAGTAAGTAAATTATGGCGGATGCGAAGTGTATAAAGTTGTAGGGTTAATCAAACTTTTTGAAGAGAGACATCTGAACGCCCGCTTGAAGATCTCGATTCGCTTTCTTACCGTTTACGACTAATATTAGCGGTGTCTCGATGCGAATTAGACGGAACTTGTATTCCTGGAATTTCACCAAACGCACAAACAATTAAAATAACCATATTTAGAGTAAGATATTGGATCTTACTTCGCTCTTGTACTTAAAATCGATATCTGATAAGTAGGGTTCAGGAATGGCGACCGAGTGTCCTATGATAACGCCTTTGCCGTCGGCTAAATTGTATATCGTAGCAACAACACAAGTTCCTATTTTATCTACCAAACAAAATGTGCTGTAAATGAGAGAACCGAAGTGTTAAAAACACGTTGATTAATATAAACAAGCGTATTTTCTAAATATGTAAAATGCAAATAATAAAAAAATGATTTACTTTTATTACTTACAACGGGACGGTGTCTTCATTGCGCACCGAGCACACTACTTTACCCAGGACGACCTTTTGTTCATTAAGACCAGGTTTTAAGTCATTGAAATGTACATGTTGCAGGTTTATTTTTTGTCCATTTGTTGATATGTAGGTGCCACCACCATAAGGACCTAGATGTTTAGAATCTAGTGTTTGTAGTAATTGATTCAACTTTTTAACTTTCATTTTGCCCGTGGTGGCGACCATTTCGTTGATTTCCTTGAGGTAGTTTAAGAATTGACGTCGTTTTAATTCTGGTGCTTCCCAGGTTGGATCTAAACTTATTGCACGGTCAAATGCTTCGAGCGCTGGTAAATACTCTTCTTCATATTTAAGCATCTTAAATTAATCATTTACTAAGTTTAATTGAAATACAATGGTAGGTAGTACTACTAAGTTTAAATTCAACAAAAAATAAGTTTATACTTACAATTGCTTTATTGTAATGTAAATCAGTAGTATTTCTAGTCACTATATCCTTTTCCTATGGAAATAAAGTCCAATAACAACTCTGCAAGTTAATAAAACAAAATACTTACAGCTTGTGTATAAGCACTTAAACATTGCTGTAAAGTTTTTGGATTTTGTGATATTCCAAAAAAGGAAGACAAGTAGGCATTCCCCAGCACAGCCCAGGAGCTACCATCTTGAGTATCTAACTGTACTGCCTCCTTGGCATATTTTAAACCAAGTTCTATGTTTTTTAAACGTTCAGCACTACTTTTCACAGGCTGTAATCTCATTAAAATTGAAAGATTCCTTAAAGAAACCTTGTTTTTCTCCTGAAAATGATACAATCAAATTTCTAAATTCAAGATTAGCATGTCTCTTACATAATTCAAAGCTTTATCAAAACAATGAGCTGCCTCCTGTAAATTATTCTTCTTGCAATAACAATCTCCTAATTCATTCCATGCTCTGATTAATTTAGGATCTAATTTCACAGCCTTGAAGAGCAACTCCTCTGCTTCCTTGCAATATGTAGGCACTACATTTAATATATAACCTTTAAGATAATAATACTTAGCTCTACACTTCTTTTCACAGTCTGTAACAATAATTAATGCAAAGATATAAATTGAAACCAAAAAAAGTATAAATATTAATAATGTCAGGTTAAAACATGAAAATACCTTTATTTTCTTCAAATATTTTCATGGTCCCTTGAAGTTTATCTTCAATATGAGTATTTCTTTTGATTGCATCTTCTATATTGTGATGTTCAAAGTAATGATCTCGAAAGTCATAAAGTTCTTTAGCTGCAACCTAAATTTCTGATAGTACACCAATAAAAATCGAAAATAAAGATATACCTCTAATAATTCAAATGCTGCACAAAGTTCTTCTTCAGATCTTTCATTATCTTCATTCATTTCGAAACTAGACATTTTGTAAACAAACTTTTATCCTGCACTTCTTACTTGTTTCTGAGCATTTGTATAGTTTGGAGATGTTAGGTTAGTATGGTCACTATTGGATTGACTGAGGTCAACGCCAACGATTTTTTCTTGATTAGTTTAACAAACCATATTTGGTTTCATTTATGATGCTAATAGATTCATAGTTGAGTCAGTCCGATGGATTACTCACAAGATGTGTTTAAATTATGTTAATTAAACAAAGAATAAAGAATATTTGAAATGCATATTCATTCATAGATGCCGCTAGCAGTATGACATTTTTAATAAAATATCAGCACGAATGTTTTGTTTGTGCAAAAGTCGATTGTGTATTGAAGCTGATAATGTAATTCTATGAACCGATAAGATTTCAAACAACAACAAAGATATGTTTTGGCAGAGTGCTGATATTTAGTTTATTGAGAGTTGAATCTTTTAATTACATTCTCATATTACAGATTTCAGCAAATTGATCAAAATTTGATGAGTGGAGTGTGAGGAGTGTATCAATGGCGTAGTGAAAAGGTATTGTTTATTAAAATGTTAAAAACAATGCTCTAGGTGAGGCTCGAACTCACAACCCCGGCATCGCTCACGACTACTGCCTTATAAGTACCGTGCGCTAACCAATTGCGCCACTAGAGCCGATGATACTGGGTCATCTTTGTCTGAATATAAGGAACCTGACAATTCTTCATTATCAATTTAACAAATTGCAGGAAATTGTAGGAAAATATTACAACATAAAACCACAAAGTATACATAAACGACACTCTATCACGCACATGTTTATATTTATCTTTCGTTTATCTATAGTCATTTATAAAAATGTAAAAACAGTATTGATTAATGCACTAAAATAACTTGATGCAGCGTTATACCTGCATTCTTCGATCCTTTGATAGCAATCTACTGGCTCCGCGTGCTTCGCAGCCACGTCCTGTAAGAGAGTAGCAAAAGGTCGACAATGGAATCTTGTTTTCACTTACTTAGGCCGGCGCGTACGAGCTCCCGGTCGATATGGAGACTGCGCGCAGCTAGCGTGCAAGCGTGCGTGATTATCGACACTGTATCAAATGTATGCTAGAGTGGACAGGTTAGTGCTACTAGCAGTGGCAGCTACCAGTTCTGCGGCAGATGCCAGTACTGCACGAACACTAAACGCGAACTTCCTTCGCAAAACTTAATCATTTGCCCCTGACGCTGCACTCACTAATCGATCTCATCTCGCCGCGGCGGGCGAACACTAAAAATAAATATGCCTCGCACGCCCACTACCATTCATTAACTCAGAGTGGCTGCGGCGAGTCGTGAGATATGTCGCGGTTCATCTGGTTTATCTATTTGGCAAGTGGCCTGTGCGTGCTTTGCACCGCCTCGATTGAGAATGTGATTCTCACTGGGAGGATCACAAGCAAGTCGCCGGCTGCCAACCTGCCAGGTATTCCTTACTACATCATAATCACATTAAAACTATTCATTGGCTTATTATGTAATTTTATGTTTGACCTAAAAATGTTTTTTGCAGGCGAAGTAAACGTTTTGCAATTGATGAATGTTTCTGCAAAGGATCCCGGTGTTTCATTAGTGGAAGGAGCAATTCTGAAATATCCGGCGTATAAATTCCGATTGCCATATGAAAATGTCCCCCTGGCTAATTCCAGCGCCATTACCGAGGCAATGATGGCCGAATCTGGATTCACCGTACTCTTTTTATATCGCCAACAGAAAAATAACCTCGGCACTTTAATCTCAGTTAATTCTCCGGGAAAATTAACACCGTGGTTTCAAATAAATTCGAATCTAAAAACGAACACACTAACAGTCCGATATATTCTTGTTGGCACACATAATTTACGTCAAATTGACTTCAAGCTACCGAAACAATTCCATCGGAAGTCATCATTAGCCGGTTAGTATTACAAATGCGTCTTAAAAATTAATTACGAAGCGCTCTTTTGATTGTAGCATGGTTGTGGGTTGGATTCACGTTTGATTTTAAAACCGGCACAGTACGATTGGATCTGGATTGTCTGCCGAGTCAGTTTGAATTGTTGAATTCGAAAAGAAAGCATCAGCGCATCACGCTCACGTCGGATTCGCTGGTCTACTTTCGACAAGAGCCTGGCCGCAAGAAAAAGTTTTTGGTACGTTTTGTTTATCGTGGATTTGTTCTCAGGCATTAATTGAGCGTTGTGTGCAATTGTTTTGCAGGGATCCATGCAAGTGGCGAAGATACTTCCCTATATTACCGAGCAACGACCCTGGACATGTCTGCAGATTCTTGAACATAATAAGCACAAACCTTTAGTCGACTGAGCTTTGCAAACTTCAATTTATTCATATGATATAAAATTGAATATAGTGAGACATTTTTATTAATACGTACTTTTTGTGTTCTTTTTTAAATAATTAAATATTGGAGAAATAATATTTGAATTGAGTATATATTTTATTAACTACTAGCGACTCCTAGGGACACCTTGTTAATTCGCACGAGATGGTGTGGGCTGTGTACGCCTGGGCTGCCTTTTCCCCCACCACTTTTTGTGGGTCGGCCGCAGGAGCGCAGTGCGCCCGAGGCTTCCAGTGTCCCAATCGCAGGTCTCTAGGTTTCTCTCTCCTGGATCCTCGTTTTGGATTGTGCACATGAGATGTAGTGTCGTAAATCGGTGAAACATCGTCATAAAAGTGACAAAATTGTGTTTTTAATTTTTTGTTCGTTTTTTAGTTTTAGCGAGTCAAACAAACAAAAACAAATTTTATATATGTATTATATATATTAATAGCTTCTTATAATTTACATTAACATGTTTTTCTGGAATAAATACTATGATATAAGACTAAATCATATACACAAAAGAATTGTACTACAATTAGCTGTTTATAAACTCAATATTAACTTCATGCAAAAGGGTTTTTAGGAATCAAGAACACTCCATAAAGTCAAAATATTCATCATCACTTTGGTTACACTGGCTTATGTAAATTGTCTCTGTTCAATCAAAATGGCAACTTAATCAATTTGCGTTTCATTCGTTACTTGAGCGACGTGCTTTTCATTGTGGTCGTTACTTTCTTTTCCTCCGCAGTGCCGCGTTTCTTCAGCGATGCCGTAGCAACATTTATCACCTACGGGTTAGAAAAAGCTTAGTGAAATTTAATAATTTTATTAGGTTAAAATTTCGTGGGAATCGTGTTTGCAAACAATGGTGTTATAAAGACGGCAGAGAAATAGTAACATACACTCACCTCGTAGTCGCAGTGTAAGAAAGAAATTGTGTGTCGGTGATGTATGTGCGCGGCATTCATTGTATTTTTACCTTTGAATGGCCCGAGTATGTTTCTATCGTTGAATTGGCTGGCGGCGTGTACGACGATAAATCCATCAAGCCAAACAGTGGATGCCTCGAAGTCGGCTTTGGAGTTGTTGTTGATGATGGCGGCGGTGGATTCTTCGTAATTGTCGCTAAATTATTTACTGAAACACAACAAATGCGCATGCAATCAGCATCTTGATGAATTCCTGCCGGAGTCATTATCATTATGTGAAAGTAAAAATCTCTCACTGTGTTTCATTGCGATTTTCCCTTTTCTCTAAACTTAACTCGGTTTGTGCACAATTAAAACGCGTTATGAAATCGCCGTTGATGAATACTTACTTAAGTGCGGCCACTCGCTGAGCACAACGCGCACATCATTAGAGTCCTCGGTTTTGTTGCGCATGGGCATTATACTGATGGAAAACGTTGAGTTACGTTCGTTTTCACGAGACTGCCGCCAACTGGTAGTCGCTGTTTTTGGTTGAGGTGTAACCACGTAGATTTTTTCTTTCGTCAGTGGACTTACTGCAATATGAATTTTGTCCCAACTTTGTAACCGCGTTAGTTTTTGAAATTTCGGTGTTGTTGATTGCTCAGTTGTCGCAATCAAATTTGACTGTAAATATTCTTTAGAATTACTGCCAGCTGGTTCATGATCTAAATATTTCGGTGTTGAACGTGGTGTGGTTGATGATAGTTTAGTTTCAGCAAAATTATAAGGTAATGTTGTAAGATAATCATCAGGAATACGTTTTGATGATAAAAATTTAGTTGTTGAAGTTGCAGCGGTTGATGCTGAAGTTTTTCCATACGCGAAAATATTCTTCGAGTATTCTTGTTCAGTCCAACCGTCAATATTCTTCTGCAAACGGATGACATCAAATGGTGGGTTTTTATTGTTATGGTTTTTATTGTTCTTGAAGAACTCTTGTATATTTATTACGGCAGTTGGTTGTTTTGGTATTTCCGCTGGTGGATTTATCTTCTGTTTATCCAATTCTGTATTAGTTGTGTACGGAATAATGATTTGAATTTGTTTAGGTTTCTTTGTGCTCGTATTTTCCACATATCTTCCCGAATTCAAGTAGTGGGGTGCTAGCCACGGAGAATCGCCGATGGGCGGAGGCTGCATGGATGTTGATGGAGGTGGAGTTTGTTGTTGCTGTTGTTGTTGACCACTTATTCCGTTTAATATTTGTTGAATAAAATCTTCGCCCACTTCGCTGCTCTGCAGATTGTTGAAAGTGCTGACTGTTTTGTTTTCATTGGTCGCGGCCGCTACGTGCGTATCTTCAACAACAATCGGATTCTCACTCAGCTTATAATCGTCATAGTTCCCGCTATCAGCAACAGATCCATATGTGGGTTGAATATTGTAGTTATTAAAACTATTTTGTGGACTAACAGTACTGTAGTATTCATCAGACGGAGAACTTGTATTTGCCACATTGACATCCAGAATTGGTGAGCGAATGACACTAATCGGGTGCTCAATTGACGCTAAGAAATCAGCAACTGGTATGCTTTGTTGAATTTGAACGTTACTGTCGTATGGTATTTCTACATGTGATCCTGGTTGGGGGAAGTTATCTTGGAAGTTTTGTGGGTTATGTAATGGAGCAACTGGTCTAGAAGATAGGTTAGGGAACGGAATCGGTTCAGCATTATGGCCAGTGGCAATTGGTAACTGTTCTATTGGTGGTAAATATTCCGGATTTGTTACTTGAGTTTTTATATCAAGGTTCTGTGTAGGTACACCATGATTTACAAAGGTGCCAAAACTATTAAAGCTGATTGGTCCACCTGAGTTATAATTTGTTGGTGGTGGTGGAGGTTTGAAGTTAGTTGGAAGATTACTATACTTTCCTTTGTTTAAAGGAATATATTTATACACAGGCTGTGGTGGTGGAGGACTAAATTGCATATGGGGCCGCTGATGGAACCCTGGACGTATTTGCCTAGGTGCTTTCCCTGACGAATAACCAGGTTTTGGTATTGAAAACGTAGGTTGATTAATCGGAGGACCATAGTTTTTAGAAGGAATTTTAAATATTGGTTTTGGTGCTCCGTAATGGTTACCAAAGTTTGAAGGTCCTGGAGCTGGTGCTGGTGGCTTATTAAATACACTTGGTGCAGAATAAGAAGGTGCTGATATAGGTGCTCCATAATCTAAAGAAGGTGGTGGTGGACCATAATTATTACCAGGTGACGGTGGAGGTGGAGGTCCATAATTATCTGAAGGAGGTGGAGGACCATAATTGTTCTGAGGTGGGGCAGGAGGCCCATAATTATTTTGAGGTGGGGCTGGAGGACCATACAACTCTTGAGGAGCACTAGAAATTGGTGGTAAACTTGGTGGTCCGTAATTACTAGAAATTTGTGGTGGTGGTTTAAAATTCTCTAAAACATGCGGGGATGAAGGCGGGTTATAAGTCTGCTGTGGACCAGAGTGGAATCCATGGTTAGGAGTACCATAACTACCAGATGAAAAACTATGCTGGTTATATAAACCACCATTGCCACCACTAGTTACATCATGCGATTGCATGAATCCCACTAGTTGATTGTGTCCATAGTTAGTCGTAATAGGAATCCATGGTTCCTTGTTACAAGGATTACAGTCCTCCTGAAATCCATTTCGTGACGCTGGCGGAGGCCCGTATTGCACCGATTGTTGCGTATCTGCAGTTTCGGCATCTTCACTCGGACCAAAGATTAAATTGTTTAGTTTTGTCATAAACCCAGGCTCCTCACTTCTTGCAACGTCCTCATTTTTTGTAGATGAATTAATTGTGTTCTCTATTGTGTTATTAACAGTTGGTAACGTATTGGTGACATTTTCCGCTCCATTCAACTCCTTGCTCCCGATCAGTAAGCATATAAAAATGACCTGGAAATAGAAATACAAATAGAAATATAATTTGAATTAATTATTTTCACCTGTTGCTGGTTTTCTTTTCAACCGATTTTTTTTTTCAAAGAACACATGTGCTAGGAGTTTTTTTAAAGCAGTTTGAACGTGTGACTTTCTAGTTTTATTGTAAATGCTTATCGCATTCCAAGACGCCGAGTTGTAACTACCGGTGCTAACTACGTTGTAATTATTAACGCGAAAATCTAAACAACAACATCAACAACAACAAACCAACTTGCCTAATTTTTTACACGGAACAATGTTAACACGAAAATGCTTCTCGCCGCTTCTTTAGAAAACCGCACGGAATTTATCGTTAAGAAACTTGTCTCGGATAGCATAGGTATGCGGTAGACCACAGGCCGCATTTGTAAATAAAATTACTACGTACTTAGTTATTTTCTTCTTATTTCAATGCAATTGGATTCAGACAAAAAAACAAATATCTTATCGTGATGCTGCGGAACTCGCTTCAATGCAAAGTAATAATTTACATCGACGTTAGGTAAATTCACTTCCTGGTGTTAATATTATTGTCGTAACTAAGTCATGTCATCATGTATGAAGAGACTATTATTAGCAAAAAAATTAGTACGTTTGCTCCCATTACATGTGATTTGCCACTTAAATAAGAGCACTGAAATAATTACTTAACCTGATTAAACTATAAATTATATTAAGCTGATCATCATCATAGAATTTCTAATCAACTCGATATGTCTCACCTTTTTGCGAGCATATCATTTGCGTATTTTCCACATCATATGTGACTGCGTGACTTTCATTTCGAATCATTTTATAATGGAATCTACTGCGACTCCGACTCAGACGCCAAAGAAAGCTCCGCGTTGCGATATCGGAATATAAACGAATTTTATGTGCGCGAAGGAAGATGGTGCTAACACGGTAACTGCATCGTCCGCTGTGTTCTTACCTGCCGCGGATATAATACATACCTACTTTAATAGTTCCTCAGTAGGTCAATTTCTGCACGCGCGCTGAGAGTTCGTATTGATTTATTCCGGCGAACATATGTCGTCGAAACAACAAATATAATTATTTCGGCTAAATATGTGTACTCTCGAATTTTAATTATTAATCATCCAAAGAGGGAAATTTAATCGTCAATTTCTACCGACTTCAACTTTAGCTATAAAATGCGTTGTACTCAAGGAAGAAAAACGCATTAAAGTGTTGCTTCCGCTCAAAATGTGCTTAATACAGCATCATAAGTTGAAAACTCTGGGTTTTTTTTTTCAGTAAATCTTAGAGAAAGTATTTTTCTTGATGTCGTACTATCGTAGTTACCATCCGTTAAGTAGCCTTCACCCATATAATCTATTGTTACATTCAGAATGAATTTAAACAAACTCGCATTAAAGCTATGCATTACTGATGAACACCGGCTGCGTTCCTGTGCGGACAATGCGCACTTGAATGGTGTGGAAAAGATATGCAAACTGAAGAAGACAATATAGATGAGAATAAGGCATGTATGTCGGAAATAGGAAAGTGAAGACGAATTCACGTTGATTTTCATTCTGCTACTCTGCTTTTGCGCATATGGCGATCAAAACCACACTGTGTCTGCCTCTGAATACAATGAACTCGCACGTGAAATATTATGCGAATGTATATTGCCTTTATATTAATAAACGCTTTCCAAAGTGCAATTCCTTGCGGGCTTTATCACAAGCGCGATTTATTTTCACCCATAGTCATTTAATACCAGTTTGTGAACATATGTGCCTGTTAGGCGTATTGAATGTTGTCAATCAGTTTTATATTAATATATTCTGTGTATATTTGCATCATTAGCGAATGCAATCAAGTACTTAGACATTCACGCTAACGAAGGTTGGAGATATCGGGTTTCTATTTACAAAAAAAAAAAATGTTTATGCGGTTATAACCTTTGCCTTTTCATTGGGCATCGGAATTGAGTTCATATCGTGAGTTGCCAAGAGAAAATAACTTTTACAAATATTTATGGTACTTGTTTTTGCTTCCGAATTAACCAACAAAATAAAACATGGTCATTGCCTGTTACAGCACTAATTCGTAGCATATAATGTGATTAGATTACTGATACAATTTGCGTGCACGCTCTTCGTCATGGTTTGATGCGTCTGTTGAGAGTAAAAAGCTACCGACGCAAGACCGTGAAATAGTTACAAATGTAATTTAATTGACCACACACGATCGGGATGCGGTCGTTGTTGGTTTTTCATTTGTTTTACCACAATTATTAATAAAAATTGGTGTCGCTTGTCTGTCATCGAAAGAAAGTTCAAAGAAAACTATTGAATTAAGTTTTATGTCGTTTTTACACGTTTACAAGACGATAAAATCAGAAAAACTTACCGATTTCACGTTCATAATGTTCCTACAATACTCCTGGAGTAAAAGTCTTGTAAGGTCTTTTCTTTCACTGGAATATACGTCGGAATCATCTGGTTTCAGTCCGAGCAATCCATGGTTTCAATTTACAACACAAAGTAATCACAATCACTTGTCACTATAGATGTAGCTATAAATGTTGTTTGTTGTTTTATATGCAGTCATTAATTTCACGCGCACGTTGTTGCTTCATTGATCTTCAAACTGTGTGCGGATGCGTTCGGCTCGTAAGATATTTCACCATTCACTGGTGTGCGTCTTCGGCAGTGATCAACGTGAAAGCATTCCAAATCCCTGCCCGCCGCTGCTGGCTGGAAGTAGTCGCTCAGACGCCTGACGAGAAGAAGTGAAATTGACTGTGACCGTGTTATACCGACACTTAGACACCGAATAACTAAAATCATATTGGGTGCCAACGTTTTATATACGAGTGACCCACATCATACGAAATTTTCGGTGTACCTGCCACTTTGGGTTACCTGACTGTCTCCTACCATGCACCCCTTCTTGGGGCACAGGTAGATGGCAAAACGCATTCCGCTACCTGCAATACCAGTGTTTCACTTTGTGCTTACAAAGTTTTGCAACGGACTAATGTTACGACTTGTACTGATATTACAGATACAGATTACAAGAGACAATGTTCTAATTGCCGTCTTGCAATTGTTATGTCAACGCCTTTCAAGAAATATTTCATTTTGTTAAACTTCTTATCATCGTGTCGCGACGTCTAGACATCTAGATGATAAATATTTTAGCCCTTAAAATTTTTGGAGTGCTTAAATTGAAATATTTAGACACTCGTTAAATTTATCACCTTCAGGAAAAATTTGGATCATGTAAACATCGAAAGTTTTTTTACCTAACCCTGAATCCTGTTATGTAAACAATTTTTGTATTGTTTGTTAAATACACACGTATAATTTAAAGTTTTAACATTTCCACAAAAATCAAATTTGTTTAAATTGAATTTCATTATCATAACCATATCAAGTGGTTAAATTTAAATTAGATTAATTTTTTACAAAAAGAAAGTGTTGCGGTTGCAAAAAAAAGTTTTCTAAATTATGTTCACCAAAATTGAATTTTTTGGCGCTGCATTTTTTACAAGATGGTAATTCATGTATGCGTACCACAATTTAACATTGATATCTAAGTTGTAAAAGTGGTACGATCCGCCTTTAATGGCTTTGTGGTCTATTATAAGTCGTTTATAGTTAATAGAGGTAGATTTGACGCGCAACTATAAACACTATTTGCACATTGTTTTCCTGGCACGTTTTATGAATTTGTTATTAATTTCGCCGTGTTGTCCATGTTACTGTAGGTGACAAGTAGAGTATTTTCCATTTTGGATTTCCAAATATTTGCATGTGCTCACCAGACACGCTGTTAACATTAATTGCAATGTTTTACACGTTTTTTTCTTCCGACATCGCTTTCTCCAGCGGGTCATTGACTATTTTACATAAAAAGTCTATTTCGTGAATTCCATGCACATTTTGCTCGATTGATGGATGCATGTTGAATTTATGGACTATTTGAAGAAGTCATTTGAAGAAAGTTACGTCTGTGCAAACTTTTTCAATTATAAAACTGTCGTAAACGGTTGCCAGACACTTTCCGAATGCACCGTTACATCGGAAACGCACATTTAGATATTTCGCGAGAGGTATAGCTAATGTTGGTAAAAGTAAGTCATTGGATGCGTAGAAAAATTTAGTTATGTGCAAACGATTGTTTAACCTTGATCTCACACATAACAATAATCAACAGCAATCTTTTTTTCTTCATCGTGCTAATTAAACTAAACATTTGCTATAATCGCTTCGGGTTTATGATGGAGTTTCACATTTATTGACATTTTGCGTGCTGTACCATTCTAATGGTAAATAGGTATACATTTTGATTTGCACCGTATTGACGTTAACAACTTACTCGTTTTTAGCAAGTAGTTCTATACATCATTAAATGGCATTTATAAAAAGTATAAGTTTATGTGAATTTTCACTACTTCACCCACTTTCTGTGTAGTGAGCTTGTCCAGCATATTAATCTCACTTGGTTCATGTTCACGAATATTCGTTAGTGTCGTATGTAAATGCGCAAATAGAGAGTTGTATCAATATGTTTCGTACGTAAAAAGAAATTGCTGCTTGTTGCAATCATGCAAAACTTTCGGCAGTTTGCTCTGCATCACAATGACACTTTATATTTTTTGCATTAAATTCTTTTAGTGTAACACCAGAACTACATAGGTACATAATTTTAAAAGTTATATAAAAATCTTACGGGTTTTACTATAGTGGCTTTATCATTTTCTAGAATGACACATTTTTTGCCAACATCCGTTACAATTGCATGAGGTAAGCATGCGCTCATGTTTATTTCCATACCTTGATGTTTATGTAAGTCATACCTATCCAAGTGGGAATAATATCATCAACAGATTACTGGTTAGCAGTTAATTTGTAGCTACGTTAGAGAAAAGTTGAATTTTTGATTAAAATGTCGTGTTTTGGCTTCTGTCGTTCCAAAACCAAGGAAGTAGATACAAACATTTCATCGTATACGTAAGTTAGAATGTTTAAAAGTCCTGCTATTAAATAAATTAATATTTATTTGAATTTTAGATTGGATAAAATTGATGATTACGACATTCCAGCAGAAATTTATCTGAAAAAGTATCAAAAGCAAAGTGATGACCGTAATATTTCCGCATCAAACGCATCTTAAAAAGATGTATACTTTAAAATCATTAATTAATTAAGGAAATTGTATTTCACATCTACGAGTATTGAATAATAAATGTATATTAAGTGAATTTATAGCAAGTATAATGATTACATATTACATAAGTTTGTAGTTTCATCAAAACTATACGCAACTGGACACATAAGTTCATATTGATAAATTTTCCCATCTCCCAAAACATCACAGAAAAAATACGATTTCATCGAAGAGTCGTTGCTGTTCTTAAAATATCCACGCTTTTGACAATGAAAAGTTGACTCCCATTTTTCTGTGACAGTTTCGATTGGGCATTTGTAATCCGTCTGGCATTCTTGTACATGCGGATTAAAATTCATATCGATTGGACAAGTGTAGTGGAAAGCCTGAAGGTCTACGCATAAGTAATACTCTTTACAGTTTAGGTCATTCGGATCACCAAAACGTCCCGAGTCGGTGCAATTAAACGGTTTTGATGGCGGTGATAAATCCGTAGTCGTACTAAGAATGGAATCTGTGGTTAAATCGTCATTAGGTGTTGTTGATGTTATTGCATCAACACATATTTCCAGCGTTTCATTAAACACCATATTAGGAAGACAGTTGTAATGCGTTTGCAAGAAACTTCCATCTTCCATTTGCTCACACGTGTAATAAGTGTTATTACTTGGGTTAAGTATATCTAGGAAATTGCCTTCTTCTTTACAGACGAATTCTTCTATGCAATGATAGTTTGGACTACAAACCGATAATTCTGGATCAAATTTTGTATTTGGAGGACAATAAAGGCGCGTGCTGACTAATTGTTGTTGATAATATTTACAATCATAAAACCATCCACAATCACATGCAGTCTTGTCTGGATAACGTCCTTCTTTCTCGCAAGTGTAATTTGTATTTGAAGGCTGCATTGTGGTGACAGTTATTTCAGTAGTCTCCCAGTTTGACGTTGTTGTAAGATCTGTAACTTCTGTAGTTTCGGTAACTTCTGTAACTTTTGTACTTGTTGTTGTTGAAAATGCACATAGAGCGGTGCTTGTACAATAACCCAAATCCGGGTCAAAGTTTGCAGTTTCCGGGCAATTGTAAGCGGTTTTCACCCATACTCCGTTTTTCTTTTGGGAGCAAAGAAAATATCTTTTACATTCTGGGTCTGTTTCATCAATAAAACGACCTTTCATCGAACAAGTAAATTCGGGAGTATCATAACTTAATGATTCCGTCGCTATAGCCTAAAAATATAATAATGTTTCTAATATTTTTTAAATAATTATTAATAATTTATTCTTACGAACGATACGATGATAAATACTATTGTATTCATTTTATGATTTGATCTCTGCATTATCATCTTCAAGTTAAACTTATATAAGGAGTGATACCAATTTAGCAAAGGTTATCTTATTTAGAGAAGCATTATCTTAATATGAACATCAAAGTAAAACATTGTGAACTAAGCCAGACAAGGTTTTATCGACTTATTGCTTAAGATCATGTTTTAAAGACTTCTGCTTAACAATCAAATTGTGGTGTTAAACAACGTGCAAAATAAGATTAAGGTTTATTGCGCTTAATTCTGATAGAGAGTTTAGATTAGTCATTAAATTAGTTTATGAATAAAACAAGAATATGGAGTACTGTTTTCGTTTATGTCAGCATAAAATATTGTTTATTTCCGAATTTACAAAATATAAATATATTGCGTTATAATATGTTTTCGTTTTGTTTCTTTATAAACCCAGAATTATTATAGAAAATCACATTATTCCAACCATTATTAGATCAAAATGTGGTCCCGCTTTATAATTTTTTACAATGTTTTAATTTGTGTGCTTGTTAAACCGGTAAGTTGATTTATGGTATTAATTAAATGAATTCCTACATTATTTTATATTTTAGAACATGGAATTTTCTAATATTGTCGATGAAATATTCAATTCTGATGACGAGTATCACGTGCGAAGTGATTTCATATCGAGAAATGAACTAAGCCGGGTTTGTTGGATAAAAACAATTAACGTTATTTATTATAAAAATGGCACCAAGTCCGAGGATCGTGATTATTCAATTATATTTGATAATAATTACAACATAAATCGGAATATAAGCAACGAAATTAATGACGACCCTAAATTTAATTTTACTACACAATTTTCCGCCGACAATTTTACAATTAACATTAATAAGAGTATTACTTGTGGACTCGGTAACATGATGACAAAGGTGTACACTCATTGGGGATCCAAACAACGTTTACAAGTCAACATTGGTTCAAAAAAATTATTGGAAGAATACCGATATCGTAATACAAATAAAGGTGAAATTAAATACAATGAAGAAGAGAAGAAACTCAGTAAGAATAAAATAAAGTCGTTATCCAACTTTGATGATACAAAATCGGAACCAAAAGAACGAGTGAAAAAGCAAACTAACGATGGAAATGATAACAAATCTAGATCGGTTTACAAAGCGCTGATTACAGTTAAAATCTTCAAGATTGAATTTAATGAAGAAGATCGAAAGTATAATGATACAGTAATTCGAGAATATGAACGAAAGTTAGACATAAACCAAAACGTAGAAGGTAGTAAAATGAATATAACGGAAAAATCTGTTAAACAAGCTTGGAATAAATTTAGCAAAGTTTTAGTTTTGAAACTAAACAATGAACCCTACAATGCCAATAAAACAATTATATTCTAGCGAGCTCCTGAAACAAGTTCTAAACTAAATTAATTACATTTATTTGTAATAAATTTACCAATTGTAACAACAGTTTCTATCTAATTAAATATAATTATAATTCAATCTAATTATAAAAATGAATTCCCGAAATGCATGTAATCCCATCATGACCACGACGACATCAAATTGAATAATTCTTTTTAATGTTTCTTACAATCAAGCCAACGTTGCACTAAATCGGCCGATTAAGCAAACCAGTCACAATCTTAATAAAATAAACAAAACCACACGATATATGAACAAACAGTTGAGACGCTCAACTGTTGTCCCCGCAGTTGAAAATGCCAATTCGCTGAACATATTTTGAATATATGTAAAAATCAACATTTACTTGTAACTGGTAACTTCAACACATTCGACTAGTGTTTCTTCTGCTACAACAAAACAGTGTTTCGTGCGTTAAGAGCAGTGGTTTAGATGTTGGGTAATTTATTCTTAGTGATTGATAAGAAAATGTCAGTGAGGCGTAAAAATTGCAGCTAACGTACACATTTGTGGTCGAGTAGCTATCGGAAGACGAGCTGTGGCTGGAAGATTCCGAGACACTGGTATGGTCGCTGCTGTGAGAGTGCGATCCAGAGTGATGAGAAACACTGCTGTGATCAGAGCTAGAGTGATCTTCGCTTGTGGTCGAGTAGCTATCGGAAGACGAGCTGTGGCTGGAAGATTCCGAGACACTGGTATGGTCGCTGCTGTGAGAGTGCGATCCAGAGTGATGAGAAACACTGCTGTGATCAGAGCTAGAGTGATCTTCGCTTGTGGTCGAGTAGCTATCGGAAGACGAGCTGTGGCTGGAAGATTCCGAGACACTGGTATGGTCGCTGCTGTGAGAGTGCGATCCAGAGTGATGAGAAACGGAACTGTGATCAGAGCTAGAGTGATCTTCGCTTGTGGTCGAGTAGCTATCGGAAGACGAGCTGTGGCTGGAAGATTCCGAGACACTGGTATGGTCGCTGCTGATGAGTGATCTTCGCTTGTGCGATCCAGAGTGATGAGACACTGGTACTGTGAGAGTGCGATCCAGAGTGATGAGAAACGGAACTGTGATCAGAGCTAGAGTGATCTTCGCTTGTGGTCGAGTAGCTATCGGAAGACGAGCTGTGGCTGGAAGATTCCGAGACACTGGTATGGTCGCTGCTGTGAGAGTGCGATCCAGAGTGATGAGATACACTGCTGTGATCAGAGCTAGAGTGATCTTCGCTTGTGGTCGAGTAGCTATCGGAAGACGAGCTGTGGCTGGAAGATTCCGAGACACTGGTATGGTCGCTGCTGTGAGAGTGCGATCCAGAGTGATGAGAAACGGAACTGTGATCAGAGCTAGAGTGATCTTCGCTTGTGGTAATTTCTTTCATTTATTCCATGATCTATATTTATTGCATTTTCAGTTTTCTTCTTACTTTATAAATTGACCTTCAATCAAAATCTTATTACCGTGACTACAGTATACTCCATCCGCTTGTTTTACTAAAACCAATATTTAATTTGATCTGTTGTTTATTATTTGAATGCTTTTGCAATTAATTAATTTGTTTATTTAGCCACGTTGGTACCATAGGTGTTGATACCGTAAGAATATTACTGGTTTTAGTTATAACGATAACTTATTTGTTTATTGATGAAATAATTTGAATTATATATTACGTATGTGCGCTTACTAGAAGCGTCGGGGTCAATTTTAGACTTTACTCGTTTTCCAATCATTCAAATACACACTTCTAAAACACTTATTAACTTTTCCGAATCGCGGAATATGTAAGTACTTTCATATTTTTTGCTTTAATAAGATTACTTTCGCGATTCTGTGCATATTTCAAGTAATTTTGGTTTAAATATCCTCACAATGAAAATATTAATATTAACGAGGTAGACAACAAATATTTTTTATTTTAGTAAAATTTCTTTATTTGCTACGAGCTCAAGTTTTAATATACGACTGGAATAATAAAATGAACATGTTTCATTTATTATATTAAAATTTAATTATGAATCATTTATTTTCATGTATTTATATTTACATTTGAGTAAAAATAATTTTCTCGCCTCCTTGTTATTAAAAACCATTAAGTATTGTCCCGTAAATTTGTTCTGATTTAAGGTCGAATTTAACTTAAATTAATATTATTGGCAAACATGGCTTTTGGAATTGAATTTCATTCAACTATAATTTTTTAACATCGCCAACTATAACTGTAATTGGGTGTTTTAACTTAGTAACAACAATTAAATTTGATATGTTAAACTGAATAACCAAGAGTTGTAAATTAGTTGCAATCTGTGAAATTTGCCATTATATTGGTCTCTAATGTAATATTGCAACAACTCTAAGATGTACCTTATTTTTTAAAGACGTGATTCAACGTAGAAAAAAATTTCATTCAAAGTTAGTTTGAAAAAACTCAGGCGCATAGGCCACACATAATGATGTATTTATTTTTACTACTGTATAGTTTATAATTGTAATTATCAAAAGTCTTTGCGTAAGTTGTTATTTTATTGCATTCAAACATGAGGCAAAGTTTTGGCGCTGCCATCAGGCGCCATCTAAGCAAGCCAGTATAAATGTGAATCAACGTGAACCTCAAGCAAGGAAATAAAACAGTCCGAGAGTAATATAATAAAGTTTGCACCATAATATAGTGTTTACACAATAATGTCAGAAAATAGGATTGCAAGTATTGGCAGATACAAGAGAAAAATCTCCCAATTAAAACAATTTATAAGAGAATGTGTACATGTAAGTTACAATTATACTTTAGAAGGTTATGGTTTATGCAGTTGTGTTATTTTCAGGAAAACGCTGCTCTATGCGATGAGATCAACGAAACGCAAAACAGAACGATTGTTTATAATGAGGAACGAAAATTTCTTCTTAAAAAGTTGTGCTTATTTGATCCACATGTGGAAGCTGAGGTTGAGGATCTATCACACCAACTCTACAACAATTCTAGTAATATATCAGTGGATAGAAAAACTAAGAAAAAGGTGTTAGAGACATCTATAATAACAGATAATACTAAAAAGTCATCTGGTGCCAAATCCAGGAAAAGTAGTTCTAAATTAAGAAAGAAAATTGTCCAACCAATACCATTAGATCCAACTGGTAGACCAATTTTTCCAATTGAACTTGGAAGTATAACAATTCATTCACTTGGAGAAGTTGTATCAGATAGAAAAGAATTCCATTGTGAAGATGCAATATATCCAGTGGGGTATGTTTCAACAAAATTGTATGCTAGCACTAAAGATACCAGCATTAAATGTATGTATACATGCAAAATTTCAGATGCCAATGGTTTGCCGAGGTAAGTCATAAACTATTTATTATTTATGTGCATTTTCTAAGCATATTTTCCTTTTTAAGGTTTGAAATTGCTGCTGATGACAACAGTATTCCTATTGTTGGTGGTACACCTGATGTTTGTCACAGCCTCTTACTTCAAAAGGTAAATAACTTTTTATCTATAAATCTGGTGCCTATAAAACCAAATGGAAACGCATTCTTTGGTTTAACGCATCCGACTGTACTAAATTTAGTACAAAGTTCTACTGGGGCACGCAAATGTTCAAATTATAGGTGGAATAAGTTTGAGGTAGCTAAAAATGGGGATAGTTACATTGAAGATACGGATTTCACTTTAAATTATGAATCATTACAAAGGTCTATTGAATTGCACAACTATAAAATGGATGAGTTTTATAACAGTCAGAAAGCGAAATTTATTTAAAGGCGTCAAATAGTTTATTTTGCGTATTCTTCTAACTTTTGTTGTACGTGTGGTTTAATAAGATTTGCGAAGAAATGTTCAGTATCTTTTTTGTGGTTTTTGGTGAGGGCCTGAAAGCAATATGGTTTAACTATTGTCAACATATCAATATTAAAACTACTATTTGCCTCTTTTATTGATGTTTTCATTGACTGCTTAGAGATTTTCCTCGCGATAAAGTCAACTTGATCAAATTGCTTAAAAAATAATTCACTTGTTTCATGTGCATCTTCTTCATTGGCGGCAATTTGATCTATTAAACCAATTGTTAATGCTTGTTCGGTAGTAAATAATACGCCACTAGTAAGGGCAAGTTCTGATTGTCTTCGGGAAGTCGCATAAGTAAATATTGAATGTGCCCAAGGGGGTACGGGCATTCCCAACTTAGTTTCGTTCATTCCTATCGTATAACCACTTACCATAATACGATACTCACACGATAATGGCAATAAACAGCCACCTGCTATTGCGTGTCCATTGACCACAGCCGCAGTCGGAATTTTCATCATATTTAGTTTCAGTAAAACATCTTTGAAACAAGACCAATAAGGTGTAAAGCGTTCAATTGTCGGTTTGTACAGTTCTTTAATGTTCAATCCAGCTGAAAATATATTTTTAATTCCCTGTAAGATATCGAAATTTTTAAAATTAATTGCACGGAGTTAGATAATGAAAATTTACTGATGTTAGTAAAATTCCTCGCACTCTGTTGTTTTCAGCACATTCCAACGCGTCCCGTATTTCAGTTAGTAGTTGCGTACTCAAAGCGTTGACCGGTTTTCTTTGAATTTCTATGATGCTTATTCCTTCATTATTTATAGCGGTGTTGACTAGTTTAGTGGATATATTTCTTAATTGTTGAATTCGTCGGTATGTACCCGCTGCGCCTTTGATTGATTTAAACATTGTTTAGTTTTACATGCACTGAACTTTATTAGGTTGTTTTCGGACTGCGTAATTATTAACTTATGTAAGTCTGCTGCTGATAAGAACAGCTTATTAGTATTAGATTATTTGTAGAGACGCAGCATTGTGATTTATTTCAGGAATAGTATACATGCGCTAAATAAGTAAAACCAGTTTATGCCTATACAATAATTTATTCTAATGGTAATTACTGAAAACACGTGTGAAAAAATACACTGATTAACGTTTTTAATTGACAAAAGTCTTCAAAGTGTATGATGGATACAAACGTAAAGGTCTATAATTTAAAAGGGTGTCTTAAGTTTATTAATCTACCTGACTAATTTATCACAAACTACATATTTCAAATATGTGGATTTTAAAATCGCGATTATACATTATTTTAGTAGGTGACACTCCAGATACAAAAATATGCACTTTTCATTTGATCGCACATATTACAGAATTGTGCTTCACACGAAATGAAATGGGAGGAAGCACTCGCCAAGCATCAGTGGTTTTGAAAAAGATAGTATAAGCTAGAAAAGTATTATAAAATGCGACTGCAAAATCAATATTTAAAAAAATGACCATATGTACAACGTCTAATAGAACTATAAAATAATATTTCAACTTTGCTGGTACATCTCTAAAGCGCCGAACAAGTGTTATTTTAAATCGGGAATCTCCTCTGGTTCCGGCCCCTGTTCTCCCTCAGCAGGTACGATAACCTCGTTTGTTGCTGCTTCAACCACTTCTTCATTTTCGTCCGCAGATGGAATTTCGGTGGGTTTGTTTGCGTCGTCGTACTTTTTCGAACATCTCTGTACCAAATCGGAATACGGCTTATCCTGGAGCAAACCAATGATTACGACTGTCATGTTGTCGCATCCAAGTCCTCCCATCAAACAATCTGGCGCCAAGCACTTCATCATTAAGCCTTCACATATTTCTTCCGGCTCATAACCAGCAGCGATATTTTCTCGGGCATATTCAATAACTTCTTCGTTTTTCATAACATCCCAAATACCATCACATGCTAGCACTATAAATTCCCAGTCATCTGTTATGGTTCTGACTTCTACATCCGGATATGCTATAAAAATAGAAACAAACTTAATAATTATCTAGATATTATTGAAATATTCTACCTGTTACAATCTGCTCCTCAGCTTGTTTCTTTTCATTTCTCTTGAATCCAAAATCTCCTAGTGCTCTGGAAAGTGCCAAGTTGCCATTGACTCTGTTATACTCCACCCAGCCTCCAGCAGCAGTGATTCTATTGTATTCAATTTCATTTGTTGGTTTATGATCAAATGATAACTGTTCTACTCTGCCATTGACTGAAGCTATTGCTCTTGAGTCACCCACATTAGCACAATACAAAACATTATCTTTAATAAGCATTGTAACAGCTGTACTGCCAGCTTGCACATTTTTGAGTGATTCCTCTTGAAGCATAATCTCATCAATCTCAAGAAAAGCCTGCTTCATTGCTTCCTCAAAATGACCATCCTGATAATGGCTTTGTTTAGTCAAAATCTTGTGTAGGTGATTGCCAGCATATTCAGCAATGGTGGAACCACCATGACCATCATATACAGCAAAAAACGCAGTGCCAGGGTCGTCCGGTAATGAAAGAATATGCGTGTGCGAATCTTCCATGTTTATCCTCCATCCTTGCATGCAACTTGAACCAACTTTGAAGAAGTTGTTCTCACAGTATGCAGTGTCCTTTGCTGTGTCTGGTTCTGACAATGTCTGACCCATGGTTTAGGAATATTCTGTAATGTATTGAATTAGATACACAGAATTCACTTAATTCTGCATTGATTTGCAGTTGATATACGACAATTTGGTGGTTGATTCATAAAAATTACGTTGACACACAAAAAAGTGGGCCGTCAAATTAATTCAGTCGTGGATTGGCGCTCACTAACCTTAAAAGTTTGCACACAACTTCCGTGATGGAAGGTACATATATGTATATAATTAGTTGGTTTGCTACTCTAACTCCTGCATATTTTGGTAATTTGAATAAAGTGAACACTTTAAAATACCCTTAAACTACGCTCTACTGTTAAATCGAATTGAACTATGAACTTAGCACTTACTATTCCTTCTACGAGTAGCGTATTATAAATTATGTGTAAGTGACATTTATTTAAATGGGCATTTTATATTTTCCGTGTATTTGGTATTTAAACATGGTTTGATGAGTATGATGCCTTATTTGCATCGGATTAGCAAGTTTAGCTAAACACACGAAGAATCCTAAGTCTTACATTTCAATGTTTGAAGTATTATTCTTTCTTGTTTGCTTTAGGAATCTGTAAACTGAACCTGAGCTCACAAGATGCCTGCACTAACACCAGCTTGCCTGTAAGTAGTAAAATTCCAAATGTTATTTTATTGTTAGAGATAACTTTCTTTTGCTCTGATTTAGTTGTTTTGCAGTACAACATGACCACGCAACACAACAATGGTACATGCATCAAGTTGTGAGTATTAAAATTCTTTATCATTTTCATATAACTTTTGTTTGTCTAAATGTGGAGCATCATATATATAATTTTTGTCTATGAAGGAATTAACATTTGTCTGTTTTAGGGATTTAGCAGTTTAAGAGACATTACGGCGTAATGGTACCTGTATCAGGTAGTAAGTATTCAAATTCTTGATAATTTTAATCAGAAATTTAAATAGCAGAATACTGTTGATTACAGTTTCCCGCAATATTTCCTGTGGCTGTTAGATGGCGCTAGTAGCAATCTTTTGTGAGTTGTCAGTAAGTTTGTTGTCTTATACATAGATGGCGCTGCTGTCACTCGCTTGCGTTTTTTAGGTATCGAGCAGTTGATCAACATCTCACGAGAATCATTTGTGCATCACGTTGTAATTATTGATTTTCCTTATTATTTTATTATATAGCGTTTGTGTTTAGCTCACGAACGGGTAAATAAATTGCATTTTTGTGTTACAAAGGGTTAATTTTTAGGGGTTTAGTACGCGAATCTGACATCGTAGAAGAACCACCGTTGCATCAGATTGTGAGTATTGAATTTCTTTTTCATTTTTTTACATTACTTTTGTGATTAACTCACCAAAGGGGCAACAAAAATTGCAATTTTGTGTTTTGAAGGACAATTTTTTTGCTTGTTTTAGGGATTTTACACTTAAGTTTGATATTGTAGTAGGACCATTTTTGCATCAGATTGTAAGCATTAAATTTCTTTATTATTTTCCTAATTTACTTTTGTGATTATCTCACAAATTGACTTCCAAAATTGCATTTTTATGTTTGAAGGACTATTTTTTGATAGTTTTAGGGGTTTTGCACCTGAGTCTGACATCGTAGAAGGACCATTCTTACATCAGATTGTAAGTATTAAATTTCTTTATCATTTTCCTAAATAGCTTTTGAGATTATCTCACAAATTGACTCCCAAAATTGCATTTATATGTTCGAAGGACAAATTTTTGTTGGTTTTAGGGATTTTACACTTGAGTCTGATATAGTAGAGGGACCATTCTTGGATTAGATTGTTTGTATTAAATTTCTTTATCATTTTCCTTAATAACTTTTTTTGATTATCTCACAAATTGACTCCCAAAATTTCATTTTTATGTTTGAAGGACTAATTTTTGATGGTTTTAGGGGTTTTGCACCTGAGACTGACATCCCCTGACGCTGCACATTGTCACGTCTTAGTTTAGTGATCACAGGTAACATGCCTGTTGCAATTCACGCACAAGGTCGCGTGCAATCAGCTGGCTGCTTTGCCAGCTATTGCTTTTACCTGCGGGGTTCATGCTGCAGGCACATTGTCTTATTAGAAACTGTCGCATCGTTGCTTGCGCTATCGATGGATTGCAGCCAGTTTCGTGCAGGTCCCTGGCGTATCTAGGCGTGTTTCGCGCGACTCGTATCGTTTTATCGGACTCTCATTTTCTAAAGCATTGTATTCGGTCATCAATTGACTATTTAGTTGTGACATCCATCTGCAGTGTTTTGTTAATGATTAATTGTGCTTTAATGTCCATAATCTTTATTTGTTTATGTTTGATGTTTACACTCCAAATGCATAGTGTTGCCATGATGTTTCCCGTCATTAGGAGGTCCCTTCGTACTTGAGTAAGTAACTTATATCTGACTTGTGCTACTCAGCACTGAATATTTATTTTCTCCGATGTATGAATATAATATTATATTGTATGCAATGTATTTATTTTAACTTAAAGTTACTTTTAATTGCAGTACTTGCTGTACCCTAGCAATCCCAGGAGCACTGCATTCGTAAGTTTTTATTAAGTTATATTATTCGGTCAAATGTTTCATTGCAATAGCCCGCGAATTAAAGGTGCCTTGAATTTGAAATTCGAAATGCGTTCTTGTCTATCTAATCTAATTAAACGAAAAATGGTTATTTATAGCACAGTTGGTCACGTTTTTGGACCTTTCACCTCACAAAATAAAATTATTTTTTTTATCTGATAGAGAATTTTCCAATTTTTCAATTTTTGACAATTTATTTCAATTGCGAATATCTCGTAAACTAAAATTGGAAATGTACGAATCAGAGAGTCCTAATCTACGGGCAATTCTCTATAAAATAATAGATATTTTGTTGCAGTATTGTAAAGTATGCTTAGGCGGGCTAGAATACTCGCATATGAATGAATGTAAACAAGTTTTTTATTGCTTTCAGCGTGCGTATCTCAACAGCGATAGTGACCTCGTGCAGTTGCTGTCGACTGTGTGCAAATCAAGGCATACGCAGTTCCATTTTGGTTGTCGGGTGAATCGCGCGTTTTCCTTGCGACTATTTTTCGTTCTTCAAATCATAATTAGATAAATTGCGGAATATTCATTTAACAGTTGACGGCATTTACTGAAGTCGGATGTGAATGTGTTTTTGCTAGTGAGATAGCATACGTTGTATGTTCATCAATTGTGGAGTTATCGGTGGTTCACCTATGCGCGTGTAATGCTCCGACGGCGGTCGTTGATTGTTTTTCGATTGTGGAATTACATTGCACTCGTGGTAATAACCATGCAGGTTATTTAAAACATACTTGATAGTAATTTGAATTAATGTTTAATTAGTATAAATAAACAACGTTGATGCCTGTTGAAGAAGTTTAGGAGCACTTGTGCCAAGGAGTCTACCACTTCCGTCGTAGAAATGTTAAAGATGCGCGTAAGTTTTACTTTCAGGAGATTAAAAGCTGGCTATGATTTTCGATTTTAAAAATGTATGTAGTTTTTAATGTTGCTAATAAAACATAATATAATATTATATACTTCTTTCTGGATTCCCCTTTGCCGTTTGCAGGATTGATGTCTTAAATCACATTCCATATAATTCTTAAGTGCGTCGAGCGTGTACAATATATAGCTGTTGTTTGTGTTGTTGTTTTAAAAAGTTGAATAAAGCAGAAACATAAATAGAAGAATCAAATACAAATGATAAAAACACTCGGTGGACGAGTGGAGACGTGCACCTGCTAGCATGCTAGCAGACACGGATCGAATCTCAGGTATAGAAGGCATTTTTCTCAAATATAAAAATATCAGGTGAAATTTGGGTTGCATATATGAATTTCAACGAAATATAAGAGAAATTGAATTACAAGTGAAAGCAATATGAGAAATAAGAAAGAGGAACGGAGAAACGGAGAACAGAGAAATAGAAGAAGAAGTAGTATTGAAGCGGAGAAAGGAAGAGAACTACAGAGTAGGAAAGAGGGTAGAATAGAAGAAAGAGAACAGGAGAGAATCGGATTTTTAAATTTTTTGGCGCGTGTCGTTAGACAGCCCACTGCTTCGATGCGTCCATTGCTCCCGGCCCATCCTACAGCTACGATGTCTCTGCGCTTCATCCCCAGGATTCTTAGGCATATCAACAATTTTTATGGTGGGGGCTCACCCCCAGAGAGAGGGAACTCTTAATAAGGACAATCCTTATAAGGTCTTGTTCAAATATTTCTAAGTTTAAGTCGTCTCAAGAGAGGAGACACTTAAAAATATTCTTAAAAGTTCTGACCTGTAGGTGAAATGAAAGATGGAGTACACAAATCATACAGGTTACCTTAACAATTTCTGTAGAGGGGATCATCCCCTGAGAGGGCGAACTCTGTCTGAAATGATAGAAGGCGTACATACAAATCAAAGAAGTCAATATATCTTGCTGTTTCTTTATTAACAATAGAATACAAGTTTACATTTTACAAGTCAACCAAATAGGTGCCGCCATGTTGAAACAGGACTTACGACCTGCCAAGGCGCGCACATATAAGCAAGTAGAAGTTCAGTTCTACCGGAATATGGAAATTAGCAAATAGTTCATTATCTACGTTATTGAAATCGAAAACAAATACACAGGATTTTTTTCGGGTTGCAGATCGAATTCCAGCATCAAACAAACATCACCCGACGAAGGATTTAATTCCGCATCTTTACGTGCCTCGCCGAAGTTATTTAGACGCTAAGATCGCATGCAAACTCGAAAAAATTCAAATATTTCTCGAAAAACGGTGAGTAAATCACACTTTAATGCAAATTTTGTCGGGTTGCGGGAAGAATTCCTGAAACAAACAAATACCACCCGACGGATAATTTAATTCCGCATCTTTGGATGCCGCACCGAAGTTATTGAGGAGCTAAATTCGCGTGCAAACACGAAAAAATATAAACATTTCATGAAAAAGGATGAGTAAATCACACTTTAAAGTAAATTTTTGCGGGATCCAGGTCGAATCCCAGCATTAAATAAATATCACCCAATGCAGAATTTAATTCCGCATCTTTGGATGCCGCGCCGAAGTTATTGAGGCGCTAAATTCGCGTGCAAACTCGAAAAAATAAAAATATTTCACGAAAAACGGTGAGTAAATCACGATTTAATGCAAATTTTCTCGGGTTGCAAGTCTAATTCCTGCAACAAACAAATACCACCAGACGGAGAATTTAATTCCGCATCTTTGGATGCCACGCAGAAGTTATTGAGGCGCTAAGCTCGCGTGCAAACTCGAATAAATACAAATATTTCACGAAAAAGGGTGAGTAAATCACAATTTAATGCAAATTTCCTCGGGTTGCAAGTCTAATTCCTGCAACAAACAAATACCGCCCGACGGAGAATTTAATTCCGCATCTTTGGATGCCGCGCCGAAGTTATTGAGGAGCTAAATTCGCGTGCAAACCCGAAAAAATATAAACATTTCTTGAAAAAGGATGAGTAAATCACACTTTAAAGTAAATTTTTGCGGGATCCAGGTCGAATCCCAGCATTAAATAAATATCACCCAATGCAGAATTTAATTCCGCATCTTTGGATGCCGCGCCGAAGTTATTGAAACGCTAAGATCGCGTGCAAACTCGAAAAAATAAAAATATTTCACGAAAAACGGTGAATAAATCACAATTAAATGCAAATTTTCTCGGGTTGCAAGTCTAATTCCTGCAACAAACAAATACCGCCCGGCGGAGAATTTAATTCCGCATCTTTTGATGCTGCGTCGAAGTTATTGAGACGATAAGATCGCGCGCAAACTCGAAAAAATAAAAATATTTCACGAGAAACGGTGAGTAAATCACACTTTAATGCAAATTTTCTCGCGTTGCAGGTCTAATTCCTGCCTCAAGTAAATACCACACGACGGAGAATTCAATTCCGCATATTTAGTTGCTGCGCCGAATTTATTGAGATGCCAAGATCGCGTGAAAACTCGAAAAATACAAATATTTCACGAAAAACGGTGAATAAATCGCACTTTAATGCAAAACTTGCGCGGGTTGCAGGTCTAATTCCTGCATCAAGCAAATACCACCCGATGGAGAATTTAATTCTGCAACACAATACACCCCGCTCAAGTTTATGTGGCGGCCAGCACGTGTCGATAAGTACAAAACACACTTAATTACATATACTACATACCATTATTTCACGCTTTGCAACACTCGGCACTAATGTTGAAGATAATAAAAATCTGCGTAATAAATGACATTATTAAGGGAAAATGCGGGAAGGGGTATATTTCTTTATTTTATTTTAAATCGGGAGTCGGCCGACGAAGCGACGATTCAAATTTGGCTCGTGACTCGCCCTAAAACAGAGAAGAGAACAACAGAGATAAAATAATGCAGAGTCTAAACATGCCACAAAACTTCTGCGCGAAGTGTAAAATATGATATAAATGCGACACGAAAACGTGTTTATACACAAACGAATACTGATTCTAAAATTGAAATAAATATTTATATTAGTTGTTATATTAATGTAATAAAAATAAAAGTATATTTTAAACATTTATGGGGCTAAGCACATTTCTCAGACTTGCTTGGCACATTTCTCTGACTTGCGGAATGCGCAGGCGCACGTTCAAATCTCGAAGCATGATCGTGCTTCTCCGCGCGCACACGACTAAACGAAACTATAAGTGTAGAAATGGAATACAGAGTAAGTCCGATGATTACTAATAAGAAAATATGCTCAAAGCAGGCTCACCCAAAAGGGAGCCGTGTCATGGATGGCAAACACGAAATTGCATCCCAAAAACTTTACAATGGCTCAAAGCAGAAACACATGTCTTTTTGATCAAAATTTACACTACGAGTCCGGCGGTTGTGCCAGCGCCCATTTATGTATGATGTATTATGTCACGATATTATGTTATGTATAATTGTGTCCACCTACCAAGGCTTAGTTAACACACACGAAGTAGGTAAAGCGTATTTTACACTTTATAGAACACGTTCAAATGTCAGTAAAGTTATACATATTTACGTATTTACTTTATAAAATATTATTTTCTAAGTTGAATACGTAATCCATGGTTTATAAAATGTATTTATTAAAATAATTTTGTGATTTTCTTGGATTTTACAATTTTGTATGCGAGTTTTACAAGTGTTTGTGTTGTGTTAATGTGTGTTATCGTTAGTAGTAGGTATGTGGAGCTTTTTGAGGGGTTTGAAAATAGTGTCGTGTATTGAATTTATCTGTTCGTTGAAGAGTGTGTGTTTGTGTTTGTGTTTGTAAATTTGTCTATTGTGTTGTGTTGGTGGTTGTGTTTTAAGATGTGATTCCCGTAGTGTGAGTGGTATGTGTGTGGATTTTTTATTGCGTTAGTATGTTCTTGATATCTGATCATCATATTTCTGTTTGTTTTACCTATATATATTTCCTGACGTATTTACTTCCATTTCAGTATTACTATACAGTGATACACAAAAACAGATTTCAAACCCTTAATCTACGGAAAATTCTCTATAAGATAAGCTGGTTAAATTGGAAATCTAAGAGCTGAAAAACTAATTCATAAAAAAAAATGGGCAAATGGGAGTCATCTATACAATCATCCACGTGCGGTGCCCTGAACACGAGTCACTTTTACCGATGCTATGAATGGGAGACACTTTTACCCCCACCCTGCTACGGTACACTGAATGAGATTCAACTATAGGGGAAGGGGGGGCAAAATGGGCCCCTGGGGGCAAAGTGGGCCCCCTGAAATTCAGGAGGCTTAAAAAATTGAGAGCCAAAGTGGACCCCCTAAAATTTTTGATATATAAGATGAAGTTGCAACAACAACTTATCCACAACAAATTCGAAGTAAGAAATAAGAAAAGAAAATAATATAAGCAAAAAATTGATACAAAGGTAAGAGCCTAATTTTTATGAGTGGGGGCCCACTTTGCCCCATATTCTGATTTTTTTTTTATTTTGATAGACACGTCTTATTAATATTGAATACTGAACAAAGATGTAAAAAATAGTGTAACGAGTGAAAAAAGGTAAACAAATTCCCTTTTTTCGCTTTTGGGGCCCACTTTGCCCCACCCTCCCCTACAATTGCGATTAATTGAAATATAACTAAATAAACAAAAAAATCAACGTTCTTGCCATATTTAAGCTAATAAACTTGAATAGTGCATATCTTTTAAACTAAAAGCGAAAGCGGCCAACAGATTGAAGAATATGAAAGATTGGAAAATTCTCTATAAGATAAAAATAAAAAATAATTCTATTCTTTGGGGTATAAGGTCCAAAAATATGACTAAAAGTGTTAAAATGTGCAATTTTCTGGTTTTTGTCAAAGAATAAGAAATAAGAATACAACCGCTTCGCTGGATGTGAGAACACATGCCATGCAGTTTTAAGCACATTTATGAATATAAAAATCTATAAAACACTACAAAAATATAGATAATAATAAAGAGAAACAAACGGCAGAAACATAATCAATCAATGTGGTTGAGATGTTGAGAATATTATTTAAGTTACTTACTGGTTAGTACTGTAAAACTTCCATCGTAAACGGCATCCGTCGGCACCCCGCTCACGAACATATTTGCATTCCGCGAACATCTTATAAGCGATAAATCATTAGCAAGACACAATAGTCAGCAATACCTACTAATTAAGAACACCAAAAGTAATACGAGTTACGGAATTAAATCCGAAGAAAGGAGAATCGCGACGACCGCGTGCGAACCATCCGTCGGATTCGGCGAAACTAATTTTATTCCTGCAGCGTGAGCAAACGATACACGCGACGCCATCATACGGTCGCGAATATAGTACAAAACTATACACGAATATCGTACGCGAATCACCTGGCAATAAGAGATAAGAACAAACCGGTCGAATTCCAGTGTGACGTGAGATCGCAAGGCTGTTTAGACACTACCACATACAAACATTGGACGTGTATATTCGTCAATAAAATATAAATGTTTGTTTACCTTTTCTTAAGTGTTCAAATTGCTTCGAAACAATTAAATCTTAATTCGGATAAAATAAAGTTTTTTTAATTAGTAATTTATTTAGTCGCCCTTACAATTAAAATCGCACGCATTATATATACCTAGTTATATTTTCCTGGATGTAAGGTTGTCAAACGTCAAATCAGGAAATAAAAATCATATATTTAAATTCCTTGCAGCTATAAATCCATAAATTATTATATATTCATATACGCGCATAATCGAGACGGATTTATTTGCCGCAAGAATGATTGCAACCTGATACAAAATGCAATCATTCGCGGCGTGTAAGCTCACCGCGACTATGGTAATTTATTTCTATTGATAATATATTTCCACGACTTTCGAATAGCAGAATCTTAACCTATGGACTATTCTCTATAAAATAAACTAGTTAAATTAGAAATTTAACAGATGAAATTTTAATTCATAAGAAAAAATGGGCAAATGGGAGTCAGCTATGCATTCATCCACGTACGGTGCCCTGAACCCGAGTCACTTCTACCACTGCCCATGTACGGTGCCCTGAATACGAGTCACTTCCACCGCTGCCCTCGTACGGTGCCCTGAGCACGAGGCACTTCTACCGCTGCCCTTGTACAGTGCCCTGAATACGAGTTACTTCTACCGCTACCCTCGTACGGTGCCCTGAATACGAGTCACTTCTATCGCTACCCTCGTACGGTGCCCTGAATTAGAGTCACTTCTACCGTCACCCTTGTATACGGTTCAATTAATAATATAGAGATATCCCTTAAAATAAAGGCGATAGATAGGAACGAATTAAAAATTCCCTATAAGATAGAGTATGAAAAACTAAATTATCTATAAGATAAGCTATGAAAATCAAGAAATTAAAAAAATTCATAAATGTATAAGAGGGTTTCCCTCTGTCACTCTAGTTTATAAGTCAAGGAAATTAGAAAAAAACCAATGGACTCCGAGATAAGACACAATTTTTACAATGGAATTTTAAATAATTAAAAAATCGTAGGACTTGAACCTATTTTGAGTAAAGTTTGTCGGCCATTTAGAAAGGGTTTGTATGGAATATGTCAGGTTAACAAAGACGCGTCTTTAAAAAAACCTGCGCATTCATAATATGAAGCAGAAAAAATATACCGAATTTTGTCGCAAGTTTTAAAAATGTTGAATCGGGCCAAATCAGAAGCACAAAATACATGAAGCCCGTATTTCGGAGAAATATTATACAAAGCACTGTTACTTACCTTACGATTCTGGAAATCGCAGGAAAACATTGTTAGTAATAATCCTTTAATTTCTTTATAAAAACAAGTACTAAATTCTTTCAGCAAACACGCACGCCTCATTTCCGTACTATGCACGATAAATTTTATAAGATTTCGTTACTATTATATTAAATATAATATTATTAAACTCGTGATACACTGCTATCAAAGTGAACGAATCAACTGACATAAAATCAACAAGAAAATAAACTAGTTTTACTCTCTAGAATTATTGTTGTTGCGGCATCTCACTCGTGTAAGGTGAAACAAACACTTTATTTTGTTTTAAAATACATTATAAGCGCAATGAACCAACTGGATACCCACATAATACAGAATGCAGTGTAAGAAACGTAGCGAGCCGCAATAAACACGCCCGGACACAAATCGACCGGCATCAAAAGATAAGAAAAACGTGATACCTCACCCATTCAACTGATAAATCATAACTTTCATGTGTGTAATATTGAAATGTTAGTATTCATTTATGAATATTGAACCTTTTAATGAACGGTAGGAGAATCTATAGTCAGTTTTGACAGAATGAACAGGATCTGAAAAAGGAATTTATATACATATTATATTTTTGTACTTTAAACGCAGTTCAGTACTGCGAACGCGCAGTTCACCACAGTTGTTTCAGTTGCGCAGTGTTGTGAGTGTCAGAAGTTTAAATTTAGAATGAAAATGATTCGAAGTGAGCATCTATAGAAAAACAGAAAGCCAATGTTCCCAATTTTTGGTTACTAAAAAATACAATATTCAATTTAGTCCCCTAATTTGTTTTCTACGAGCAGCGACAACCGTTACGCTATAAACAATATAACAATTAAAACTTTGGAGAATACATGCTGTTAACAATTTACAAAATACTATATTAACGAAAGAGTGATAAATATAGACTGAGTGCCTCGCAACAACCTCTTATGAAAATCAAAACGAAGATTTGACCAAGTTGACAAAAAAAAGCATTGCGTTCTGTTCAGTAATGGATTCTGTTTATCCCGAACCGATGTCGTTATTGCGTAGACGTGTTGTACCGAAAAAGCGCAAGGGCACAGCTAGCAGATACAGAACTCAACCCGTGACATTCCTTGAGATTCAGGCAAGTAATAAACGTTCTTGATAACGGCATTAAGTACGTCAAAATGAGGTGCTACATTTTAGGAAGTCGACGAGGAGAACCTGGAAGAACCGAGCGAGCCCACAACGTCTCGCTCAGAACTAAGTATTCTAAATAGCAAATTCGATGAATTTCGACGCTCCCGAGATTTAATATTAAACACTTGTGATAGTAATCAAGATAATTCGGCACAAAATGTGTCGGCAATGAACACATCCAAGGTGTTGAATGTGACTAAACAAAACAGACCATCCATTTAAATATTTAAATTGTATCTCAAAGTCAAACATTATCTATTTACAAGTTATCTATAAAATATGTGTTTTCAGTATGTATATGTAAAAAGTAAAGTGCTTTATTTTTGTATTGATGCGATGAATATTGAAAATAAAGTTGAATAGAATTCATTATATTGAGTAAACAATATAAAGACCTTTTATAAATAAAAATGGCAGTTTATTATTTACAATTTTATAAATAATTTGAATTTCATGGCTTAAAATGTTTGAAATCTGTATACAATACTATAATATATAAGTGTATATAAATACTAGAACTGTAGTTAAACAGAAGCGTACAAATAAATAACAATGCTAATACTTGATGTCGTTGACTGGCAGTTTGTAGGCCGTTGCATCCGAAATGAAACACAGCAATGAACGTAAGTACATGTAAAGCTTGCAGAGCTTTTCTGCTAAGTTTCCCGTTTTCATAATATACAAATATAGCTATTTTGTACATAATCGAATAAAACCTATCTCTAGTTTATGGCAATATAATAATTTAATATATTCCTTCCATTAGTAAATGTTATCATCTCACTTAATAAATTTATTTAGATAGTATCAACCTTAATGCTAATTATTTAGTATATCACGCATTCTTTATCGTATTGTACACTTGGGATAAATATATTAGTATATCTGGGGTACCGAAAAATAGTGACTCATTGGACATTTCTACATTTTACACAAAATTTCAGTTAAATATATTTTTCGGAAATGCCCCCGTATTCATTATATATATGTACAAAATAAACTACAATAATTTAATAATGAGCACCCTCCTACACAACATATTCTGGAAGCATGAACCCTGGAATGTGTACTTATACATCGTATAAGACGGTACTCGATTAATCTATCTATGAATACAGTGCATTTAATATCGAATGTAATTTAATTACACTGCATAGAAAAATACATAATATTAATTTGGACTAATTATTATCTTTTTACGTCTGAAACAGGTTTTGAAGGACCTGCTTCAGGCTGACTAGTCGCAGTGCATGTATTTGGTGGATGTAACGTGACGATGCTTTGTCGTCGCGTCGGCGTAATAATGGGCGTCGTATGCAGGATTGCATACAAAGGACCTTCGCGCTCTTTTGTCGGCGAGATAAGCAGGGGCGGCTCCTCGTCCTGTTGCATACTATTCTCCGCTGCCGATGGTATTGTCGTTAGGAAGCGAACGGTAAGCCGGCCCGGCGATCCTGGCGGATCGAATTCGTCCTGCACGGCGCATTGACGCGTCAATCGCGGCTTGGCGCGTAGGCGTGTCGCCGGTTCACTGGACGCACTCGACCGCGAGATACGCCACGTGCCCGTACTAGCCGTCGTGGCCGATCCAGAGGAATCATTTCGAGAACTCGACAGGTTGGAGTCCTGTGACGTCTTTCGTGTCACTAGCCACGAGGATGCACGGCGTTTCGGATCGAGCAGTCTCAGGGGTATACCGCAGTGATGATTGTGACGCCAGGAATCCGAACGTGACGAACTGAAATTCTCACTCGACGAAACGCTAGAGGCGCGTTTGTGTTGCTTCTGCTGTATTTCAGCAATTTGATAGGTGTACTGGTCACTCCTAGGCCGATGCCGACTTTGTCTTCGAACGCACAACATCCATCTGGTTTTACTTAAGAACCATTCTTTAGTGCGACTCTTACGCGTCTGCGGCCGTGGAGTGTTTTCATTTTGATCACCCAACAGCTTCACGTTGCACGTGCACGACGGAACGTGATGATTTTGATTCTCTCTCGACGATCTGTCCGCTAAACTGTTTGTGTTCGCGGGCGTTTGCCGATTGCTAAAGTTTGAGCTATGCCTGCACCGGCCAATGCCTCTCGTCACTCTACTTTCTTCTATGGCCTTACAGATCATGACGCAGTCTTTTTTAAATTGTTTAGTAAGTATGGCATACAAAAAAGGATTGCAACAAGAATTCAATGGCAGCACGAAAACAGTGAATACTTTTGCCTGCTCCAACGTTATAAGTTGCAAACCAAAGGCGGCTGTCAAGCTAAAGAATGCAATTGGTGACCAGCACAAAAAGTCTGTGAATACTAACAATGCCATACGTTTTGCGATCCGCGAATCGTTGCTGTTCCACGCCTGAGAACCGCGAATTGCACAGTACATTTTTAAGTAACAACCCATTAAAATTAAAAACGCAATACCATTTATAAACATTAAAAACACTACGTAAGTTAGGCTCGCGGTGTTGTTTGTTTCAAACGGCAAACACACCGCAAACTTCCGATAATCGGATATACTAAACAAAGGTAGCACCGCCATGATAATTGCGAAGGTCCAACCGACCATCATAATATAACCGGCGTGCTTCAAAGAGAGCCTCTTATTGAGATGCATGGCATGCGTTATCGCATAGTTGCGTTCCAAGGTAATCACTGCCAATGTGTAAACCGACAATTCCGAACTCAATACGCCCAAGAATCCCGCCATTTGACATCCTGCCGACATCTGCCATGGAATCGCATACATGCGAAACTCGCCGAGTGTTGAAGCATCAACAACCGCTAAAAAACCTGTGAACACGATTTGAATTAAAATTTTAAATTGCTGCGCTGCAAAAGGTTTTGTTACCTAAATAAACGCCCATAAAGAAGTCCGCTGCCGCTAAATTGCATACTAAGAATCGAGGTACGTCCATCTTACTTCGGCTAAATATAAGTACAAACACAACAGTACCATTCCCCAACATTGCACATAAAAATACAATCCACACACCACAACGCAAAGTCCACCAATCAAATAAATCCTGACATGGTAGAAAAGGGCCTGGCAATGGCAAACACTGAATTTTGCCGGGAGGACCATCGCTGCCAGTAATGCGATTTAATTCCTCCTCGGTGTATTCCTCCATATAAGCGGGAAAGTTTCCCGGGTACGTGAAATCAGTGCCAATACGGTCCCACAACGCTTTGAATTTCTTGCCAAATTTGTGACTTATGTTTTCTAAGGAGGGCAATCCTAAATTACAACCTGGGATTAAAATTGGGTTGATATACTTACGCATTGATGGCCACAAGTCTATCGAACTGGAATTCCATATATTCAAATCGATATCATCAATGTCGGGAAACACGATTATATCTTTAGCTCGCGGCGGTGGGTTCGAAGGTATCAAGGGGAGAAAGGCGCAACAGTGATAAGCGTACGCGAGTACCAATGTTTGAATACGCGGAAAAACTTCGGGTGGTGGAAATTCCCGTAAGTTTGGATTGTTGAACGTCTTCAAATGCAGCAAACGTTCCAACCCAGCAAATGGCAGTATTGAGAACACATTGTTACCCAAATTTCTGCAAGACGAATATACCTCAGTGCTTACTCAAGCACAAAAAATACCAATAGTCGCCCTAGGGCAGCCGAAAATGTACTCACAAGTCTTCGATGTGTGAAATCGACAGGAAGGCGTCGGGATGAATGAAGGAAATTTTATTATCTTCGAGATCTCTGTGGGGCAAACAAGAAGATAAAAAAAGTGATATGCATAATCCTATGAGAGGCATGATTTATAAATGCGTCTGGAGCCACTTACAACACTTGTAGTTTAGATAGGCCGTAGAAGGCGTCGTAGGAGATGTGATGGATATCGTTGTGAGCTAAAAGCAGATCGTGCATTTGCGACATCCCCTTAAAAGGTCGACTCTCCAAAGAATTTATCTTGTTGCCAGCCAAATCCCTAAAGCAAACAAATAGAAAGGCGCACATAATCAAAATGGATTTGTCGCAAAAACTTACTATGTTACTTACAGCACTCGTATGTCCTTGCAATTAGACAGATCTGGCACTTCCACCAGTTTGTTTGATTTAAGATCTCTGAAATATATTTACAGAATTATATCGATGGAGCATGTCGGGGAATAAAATAAAACTAACAAACTCTTCAATCCAGGGCAAGTGTAGCATAGAGTGGCTGGCACTGACGAAATGCCGGCGCGATCTAATCGCAGAATTTCCAGAGCGCTTGTTCCATTTAGGGATGGAAACGTCGACAGTTCACGAGCATCCGATAAAATTCTGATTGAATAAAAGTCAATTATTTTTCACTTCCAATCAACTACTGTTACGAACGTGTAGAGAAATTGTAATTTAATGCAGTAAACATCGAAAATGCTGATTTAATCTCAATTCTAAACCTAAAGGGTTAATGAAAATGTAACGGTTTAGGGAACATAATACTTGCAGCTTTCGTAGTCGTGGTAGAAATGAGAATGCATGTGTATCGACGCCCACTAACGGATTGCCTTTTAGTTCCAATAAGGCTAATCCAGGTGTTTTCTGGAGCAATCCACTGGGAATATACTTAATGCGATTCCCCGAGATAGACCTACAAGAGAACAACACTGTTCATATTGTTGGTTCTCAATTCAGAATCGATTCGCTTTTAATAGAAAAGTAATTAAAAGAAAACACTCGAGACAAAATTAAGTTCTAAAAGTTTATCGGAATGAATTTTACTTACAAATCTTGTAGGGAAGGGAGTTTAGTCACCGCTGTTGGAATGCTTGTCAAGAAGTTGTCGTCAAGTTCGCTGCACACAGAATAAGAACACATTTGCACATTACAATGTTGCCTGTACCCAAGATGAAATGAAGTCGAGTTATAAAAAGACATGAAAAATCATCGCCTCGTCCTTTTTAAAACGTCTTATTTCCATCGCCATATAATAAGCGATTCTCGTTTTAATTCGACCAAATAAGTCACAGTGATAAATAACGTGATGCATGCGTGAATACTCACATGACTCTCAGTGCCGTCATGTTTGCGAAAGCGTCCTCAGCTATTTCAGTGATTTGATTCCTCTTGAGATACCTGCAAATAAGGCAATATTACTCATATATATTATGACGTCGTTTGAGTCTGATATGAAATTGTATTTTTAAATCGCCAAGCAGTTGGTCTTGTATAAAATATAGTTGTGTCATTTTTGTTTCCTAATATCCGAATTAAAGTCTAAATATAACAACGGAAAAGTTCATTGGCACACTTACAAACTAAATATCCGATAACTATTTGTAAAGCTATTTTTTGCTCGTAGAAAACAAATCAATATGTTCGGGTGATGATATTATGTACTCAAGATTTTTTAGACTGTAAATTGGGTATGATTTATGCGACAGGCATGTTGAGGCAGAGTCACGATGCGAAAGAAAACTTACAGAACGATAAGATTTTCCATTCTGGGGAACGCGTCCACTGGAATGGAAGTGATGAGATTGTTGCCCAGGTTTCTGAAAAGAAGTAAATTTTTCGTACGTTAGAACGTTTACATTTAACAATAGTTTAAGCAAAAGCCACATTAGATGAATTATAAAATTCATTTATAAACTACATCTATTTGCAAAAACACATAATAATGTAGGAAGCGCTGAAATGCTCGGAAAATCTTGCCAATCACTGTGCCAATTCGTATTTGTTTATTGTCAATTCACAAAATGGAATTGCGACAATAAAACCGGCATATTTACAAAAGCGCCATTCGATTTTGCGGTGTTATTAATTGTGTATTGTTGATAAATTGTCTTTCGATGAATGTATGCACTTGTATTCATATTTTTTTCGTGGTTGTTGTGTTTTTATTCGTAATTGTTATTGTTGTCTGTGGTTGGGTGTAGTGTTTTCTTTCATGTTTTGTATTGAGCAATCATAAAAGCTAATTTAAGCATTATCCACAATATTTATCGCATCAATTTTGGAGTTGAATTTGGTTTAAAAATTCGAAGCGCATTCAGCATTCAGGCTTAACTGGTCCTCGACTTGACTGTTTGTACTCACAGGACCTCTAGATGTTCAAGCCATTGCAGTGCATTTGTCGGTATGGCGCGTAGGCGATTTCCGTCCAGGCGCAAACTTCGAAGCATTTGCAGTTGTCGGAATGTACTTCCGTCCAGTTCCCATATTTCATTTTGGCCCAGCTGCCTAACCCAACAATAGTAAGTTCGCATTTTTTTTTGTTCAAAATCACCGTAGGTCTAGTAAAAATTGTACTTCCAACCATAAATATAAATTACTCTTCGTTTAGGGTTCAAAAGTGCAATAAAAATAGAATATGAAACAATTTTACCGTAACTAATATAACATCTATATGAAGATTATATTTTTGTTACCTACGTGAAGACCAGATTATTTAGTGCCTAATTCTTAATATAACATACGCGCGCTGTTTGTGGTCGACCCTTAAAAATAATTACATACTTACAATGTGTGAAGTTTCTTCAACGGCAATAAAGCTGCCTTGGGAACTTCAGTAAGCCTACAATTTTGGAGGATTCTGAAAACAAAGCAATTTATTATAATATCATATAATGCTATAGAGTGCAGACTGCAGAATCCAGCCACCAGTGCAGAAAATTCCGAGAGCAGTATCGGAAAATCTCCAAATTTATAGTTCTTTGTGCGAATGTCTCCGTATATAAAATATTGTGACTTAAAATTGGGTTAGATATAATCCCTTCGAGATATACGCTACTGCGGCGAGACGTCGAAATTGAATTTCCATGTATTATGAATGTGCAGAACGAAATGCCTTTCCCGACAAGTTGGCGATCGTAAACCGCAGAGCTTGTTGGATAATATACCCGCGATCGTAAAATTGTTTTGCCCATTGCTTTAAAAACTAGAATCGAACACAGCTTTATAAACTTTATTTCATAAAGTAATTTGATTATGCAAGTAGTAACTTTTTGGAATAAAAGCTTCATTTTATATGCACTGCAATTAATTTTCATTATGCTTGTTTGAATTACAGTAGAAAAAACCTTCAAGCGTTGGCCAATTACGAAGATTGCCTTTATGAACGTGCAATTTCCTAAATTTGACAGTTTTTCATTAATTACAGTGCACCCATACTTAATGCAAATTACACTTTAGCCAAAGTGCGAATTTCATTAAAATATTATTAATCATAAAGTAGGTTTCATCATCATACGTGTCTGCGTCTCGTCATCGTCCTTCAACGGCGTGTGCCTCGCCATACTGTCTTCGCCTTAGTGTCATCCGTAAAATGATTAATTACAATTAGCCTCAAACAGCATTTAATACCCTTAAAACATTCCACACCGATGCTATTAATATGTTATTATGCACAAAAGTAGCTTATGCGAAATTAATGTACAGGGTGAGTAGGAATGACCGCCTGACCCCATTAAGGATGAGAATAGTGGGGAATGTCCCTAATGCCCTGGACGATCCACGGGACGTATGTACAGAACAAACTACGTCACAGATTGCGTGCACTGGGAAAATTTCGTGCTTCCTGCTCCATGCAACAATGTTACGTATCAGTGAAAGCGCTATATCCTTTTAACTATAGAGATCATTTGGTCATTCAACTTTCAAATCGTCTTTATTATATCTATTGATAGAATAAAATTATTATTCTGATTTATAAGGATTTACAACAAAGAAATGATTTACGACGCACGCATTCCCTACAACAAATGGCAGTAAAATATTATTTATGTCAGGAGGGTCCTGTTAAACAAGGGATTTTGAAATGTCCTGTCATCATTCGCACCGTCGAGGTTCGTGTAATGCCCTCGTTAATAAAATTCAATTCATTCCACCAAACGTTTTGTATGAATTCTCGCATTTTACATTTCAGCGCATACAGCGCACAAGCTGCGCGTTATTGATTCGATATCTCAATACTTCACTATATAAAAAGATTTACGTTTAGAAGGAAAAAAATACTCACAATCTTTTGATGTGAATGGTCTTCGCAAATGCTTCCGGGTGTATTTCAACTAGATGATTATCGATGAGTATTCTGTAAAGAAATTACGAAAACATTATGACTTGCAAATAGAAATCAGTAATCTTGCATGTGTACCGGCCATTATACATTATACCAGAGCAAATTCGAAATTCACCTTTGAGTTAAAAATTTATGTTACGACCGTGAGGAACGAGATAATTGCCCATTCGGATGATAAAAAACTACATTACCGTGCACAAAAGTAAAGTTCACAAACCATTTAATTCAATGAATCGGGGGAATACTTGAAGCAATCCGTTTCACCGGACGGCTTTATGTTGAATTAAATCATTATGGAAAAATTCGTGCAATGCAAACGCTTCCGTAGAAAATAGAAAATGGGCTAAATGAGGTCGACGCAAACTCGTGCATAAAATGTTCCATCTGAAAATGTACTTCGACTATGCAGAAACTTCTCTCATCGTGTGCTTGCTCCTTTTACGACCGCGATGTGCTTTTGTGAGGGCTGCTTTTGAGTACAATATATACGTTATGAAAACCATAATAAAAAAATAGAAGTGGAGCAACATTTTCAACATTCATGTCTCAGTTAGTGAATTGAAGATTGAATATACGTACTACAATCGTGAATTTGTATGACAACAAATAACAAACAGTAAAAATGTTATCGCTGAAAGTCAGCAACTCACGGAATAAATGTTAAAGTAAATAAACGTGAACTCAACAAAACAGGGCAGGTAATAATCAATTCATACATCGCGCGACATCTGTTCGCAAAAATTAGTACAATTAATATGAAATTAGTTGAAATTCCGATGAAAACTTACACAATTTACTTAAAAATTTCAAATTTTTTAAGTGCAACTTTAAAGACACTTCTCGAGTAGTCTTAAAACGTAGGTTTATGATAAAATGTAACTGCATATCACGATAAAAGTACCCTTAAAAAGAAGCATTACTTTTATGCACCAAAACAAGATAATTATCTAAGATCCGACGATTAAATTCATGCGAAACTTTTAAAAAGTTAGCTTAACTGCTGTAGTCAGCTCGCCGTTTAAAGTGAAATGTGTGCGTGGAGTTGGCGCGCAGAGCAACTACTAATTTGATTGTGTGCGGCTGCAAACTTCATTTATTTCGGCGCGCAGATAGCGTCAGACGCAAGCCAGATGCAATTAGTTCGCTTAGAGTGCAATTAAATTGACCCGCAGACAACGATAACAGAACCACTTCAGCTCTCCATCCGATTATACGCATAATTAAATGACTTTGTACAACTAATAACAAAATATCACATGTACTCACTATACCTATATTCGTACAAATTGTAATAACTATATTTAAACAGATTTCTCAAGTGGCAATTCGATGCTGCGCGTCAACGCTGGATATGTAAATATATACTACCTAGTTGGAAAGCACGGCGGTAAAATGAATATTGAACAGGGTAAATGTTCATTCGAGCCAATTTGTTGGTGAGTATTTACATCGTGAAATTCGATGGTGTTTGAAAATGGGGAAAATGTGCAAATCTTCGCTAGTCAAGATAGAGCGAGGAAAAGAAACGTAGATAGGCCATAGGGCACATTTGCATGCGCAAAATGTTGACACTGAAACGTTGATGTTTCCTCGGCGAATGTAGATTGAGTCGGAATGTCCTAGACGACACAACAAGTCAGTTGATATTGGAAAGTATATGGACTGAATATTCAAATACGAAATTGAATGCTATATACTCGTTTGTCGCTCATCGGTTTCGGGTAGTTCTCCCCGCTTGACTGCTATATCAAACTGACAAGCTGAACGAAAAGATATATTGGTATTTGAATAACTTTACAAAGATTTACACAGGTGTAGCTGAAAATAATTGATGATTTTGATCAAATCGAAAAGCAAGGTTAGGTTCATCGTGGGACAGGATGTGGGCGGTCGTAAAAGTAGGAATATCCCTAGTAATGTGTCTGGTACCCGCCATTTGCACAAAATTCGCTTGAGGCAAAACCAAATTGGGGTGACTGATCTTATAAACAATACCTACTATAATACAGATGAGATGAGATGAGAATCAAATTGAATAGTTGCCAAATCTATTTCGTACTGACTAATTCACACTTACAATTCTTCCAGTCGCGTGTACTGCTTCAGTGAGATGGCGTCTAATGCCGTGATGTTATTGCTCGTTAAGTCTCTGCAAAAAAAAAGAAGAGCAAACATCGTCAAATTTTCATTCTACACAACAAAGAAAATAGTTTTACAAGCACTACTAGTATTAACATTCAACGAAAAAAATTATTACCCCACAAGAGAAATTCGCAAAGTAGTCGAAGAGAGAAAGTAGAGGAAAATAAGCTTTGATATGTGTGTTCCGCATTCTACCGAGTTGTATTAAAGACACAACAGTTGTCACGTAAAATTGTAATGGACATTAATCTACCGCCAGGATAGCGCGCTGAACGCAAACGGGAAACACGACGACACGCTGACTCGACAAAATAAGAGAAAAAAAAAAGGTCACGAACGACAAAACCGTAAATTCTTAAACTATTTCCACTTGAAGCGAACAGGATTTGTCTTACATTCGTTATTTATTCGAGCGTGAGTGAATCATATAACTTTTTCCGTCTGAGATATTGAACCACACTTATGTATAAATAAATGTTAACACTTTATCCGGACAATTCCGACGCATAACGCAATTTATTACCGACATGTATAATTATAATTTTTCTTGATTTACAACCGGTCATTAATATAATCTACGATTATCTATAGATAAAAATGACTAAAAGATGTCTTCAAACACTTGCGCTCGAAGAAAATGAGTGGCATTAAATTAAAACACTAAAAATAGTGCGACAAATTGGTATTTAGTGTCGTAGTACTAAAAACAAAATAAATACCAGCGTACTTAAAACTGTTTGCGCTTCAAACATGAATTATGAGTAAACTAAGGAAATTGTGTCGCCGTCGCGCTCGTAACTTGAGTAAGACAGATATTTCGAATCGGAATGGCGACTTAATTCTAGTCACCACCAGAAATGGTAGAAACCGGTGGGTAATGTTGCAATTACGATGTGCAGTATCGCGCAAAGACACTAGCAGGATTTAATTGGAAGCGACGCGCGCAGAGAACTGGAAACCTGTCTCCAGTTGTATCATATTTACCGATTTGCAGCTCTTTGAAAAACCGAAACAGCGTGATTTATGTTTGGGGTGTGCTATTGACCCCCGCTGAATGGACGTTTATCAATAATTAACGATGATTGATTATTGTATATTGCTTTGAATTCAGAGCATCGCAATTCGTTATATTATTTATCATTTGTTCACATTCGGAGTTTTCCCATTCAATGAACGAGTAAAATACGTCGGGAAAACATGCGCCACAAATAAAAAAAATCAAACGGCTGTGCGTTGTGTGTTGTTGAATCTGCTGTAGGCAATTTTAAGAATTTCCAAGTTAGTTTATTTTATGAATATGATGTTGATATGAGCCGATTACTATGCGCGCCCATCCGAATGTATATGCAGAGAATTTATCCGGAAAAGGATATAGAAGGAAAACTACAACGCTTTCTTCTCGCGATGCGGAAGAGCGTGTAAATCGAGGGTGAACGAACTGGCCTTTTCTTGGCGCGGCGCGTCCTTCAAGGATCGAGGATAACGAACGAACGAGAACGGATTCCACGCAACTTTGCCCTCTGCTGCCAGCAAACAATTCGACCATCCACCACTAGTACTAGCATACCATTTTCGCATCCAGCGGCACACTACTATCGAGCGTATAATATGCACACAAAGCCGCCACCACTGCCGCCGCCACCACTACGCGGTGGTGATTAATTATGCACGCTTTTCTCTTTAGTCTTTATTCATTTTTTTGGTCTGTTGCGAATGCCTCGAAGCCGTTCATTTATTTCCGGAGAGAAATAAGAGTGGAAAAACAATAATAAATAATTATGTAGTCACCAGAGCGCCATCAACACGGACGCGCTGATAATAACAACTAAGAGAACAATAAAAACTCGCGTGCGGCGATAAAAAATAATTGCGAAAAAAGCAGCCGATTCTCTTTCACACTTTTATATGGATGGCATTGACAAAAGTTAGCGCGCAGCGAGAGCAATAAATGGAGCAACTTGGTGAACCCTAACGATTTCGGTCATTTGAGTAATTCGTAATTCGTAATGCGAAATGTGTCGTCGGCGCTTCTACTCGGATTGCCGCAATTAAAATCATCGTCCCTTATTAGACCATAAAAGGGTGCTAATAAAAACGTTGTTTTGATTTGTTAACATTCTCTTCTGCGTATGTGTGTCTTGTTTTTTTTATAGTTTGTTTACGCTACCATGTGGGTTCCGATTTGTATTGGGCAAACGTTTGCATAATCGAGTAGAAAATTACGCAGTTCAATCTATAAATTATTCTAATACATTTATGCTAATGATATCGGGCGGAACTCGAAACTGGAAGATCATGTACATTAAGCGAGACGCCTCCGTTCAATGGTATAGAAAAAGTAATATATAAGCGAGCAAATGGATAGAAACCAAAGCGCGCTCGCATCGGCAACACACACTCAAAACACTTTTTATATTTATCTCCATCCATCCCATATATATTTCATTCGTAGAACGATTTATGCGCAATATAATTCATTTTCGTGAATTCGATTGAAAACCTAATAAATTCACAGGCGAGAATAAACAGATATCGACGCTTTTGTTCGACTGCCGATCCATTACACATTACACTCCTCTTTTCCTTTTACGCAGTGTTCTTTACTCAACACGCCATCCATTGTATCTGATGCATTAAATAAAAATCAAAGTGTAAATACGCCGAAACCTTTGACATTCCGGGTCAGTTAACATGTAAATTTGAACAAAAGGAGACATCTGTTATGGCCAAATACCTTACTTTCATTGTGGCACACAATATGAAGATGAGGATGAGATAGATGCAGATAGAATTTATGCGTAATACATTTATCATTTTATTCTTATTTTTTGTTTATCTTTAACACATTTCGCGTGGATGAAATGAAGTAGGCTAAGAGCGTAATGCAAATAGCTGTTATTTATTTTAATATTTCATATACAAAACAAAAAATAATTACCAAATTTTTAAAAACTTCCTTTAATTTTTATTATTTCAGCGGAAAATGTAAAAATGTAATTTCCATTTAAAATGTGTAAAACTACGAAAATATAAATAATAGAAATTAAAAATGCGCTAAGCCACTAAGGAATAATAAATGTAAGATATTTGCACGCATGAAAATAATATTCGGTGAATTTAACATAATGTAAACAAGCGCATCTTACCGCCAACCAGGTTGCAGAAGAGTTTAGGTATGAATAGTGCACGCAGCGCGTGAGCTCTCACGAATGCTAGTATTCACGTTTATCTCAAAGCAGATTCACAACAAACAAACAACTCTACTGATAAACAAAGATTCCGCTGCACGCGGCAGCGAGAACGCGCACTCACTGACACCAACACACAAATTCGCACATGCACGCAAACCGTTGTTTAATGCACATAAGTGCATTCTATTGCCATCTAGGCGTGAACTAGATAACTCTCACGAAATAAAACATGTTTTATGTCTCTCCCGGGCCTTTTTTCTGCATAAGAATGTTACTTTGACTTCAATTAACATTTTAAAGCAAATATTACTGAATTGCGGCGTATTTTATACATAAATATTTTAAATATATAATAAAAAAATGTTATGCTCAAATCCTGGTAGCAAATTCACTTTTCCCTTAACACCTTACACGTCAATACACTTATGATACCATCAAATAAAAATGAATAACTCTACACGCACATAAATATCGAAAACTTTAGCAAAAGTCTTAAGCGATGTGACATTCCCCAAATACATAAATCAATTGACATCGATAGGGATGCCCCAGCGGAAGACATCCCGAGTACATTATGCAGTAAATTATTGTGACGAACTACACTTGCGGGCGTAATTTACATAATAAACGCATACAGCAAATCAATTTTATTTCACGACAAGAAATAAAAACACACACACCAATATATTATATTCACATGAGCCGGCAACAAAACATGCAAAAAGCATTTTAACAAAAAGTACGTTTTTTCCACGTTTTCTTCGAGCAAATTTATTACTCCTCAATAAAAATGTGCCCGCCGAGGCTTTTTATTTGGCAAGTTTTAGGTGGTTGACTTGCAACTTTCTAGCAACATATAAAAAGTGAATTTAATAAAAAGACGTCAAGCTATAAACCACCACGGGCGGGATCACTTCTTCGCTTTATAAATTAAATCCTAAATATTTAATAATACGACTGCCTATGGTTTTGTGCACAGCAGGGAGGAACAAAGCAACATTATTGATACTGTTACCTACGTAGCGGTACAATTTTGAAGCACACTTTCCGATAATATAATCGAGGATATACCTCCGGCGTCAAACGTTGACATATAGTGTAATTTACGTGCGCGTGGCGCACATCCGATACAGATGATTATGATGATGAAGTTCCGTACGCACCACTGCATCTTCTTCTTAGGTGGCTGCGCTTAAAGCGGATCCACAGCGTGCGCATGCATTGGCGTCGTTATCGTAAAGAGGGTTCTGCAAATAGGCAAACAAGTGCCTAGTTTATAGAAGATTGTTAAGAGATGTCTGGGCCAGAATAGGCGTTACATTGTCTCGGCGCTCCTAATCCTGACCTCCGCCCGAGGGTTTACAACTGAAATCCCGTCTTTATGCGGCAACTACTAGTGTACGACAAAAAGCGCTAACTTCCTCGGGAATGTCATCCACAAACGTGTACATACACACGCGAGAAAGGAGCTGCTGCCTGCCATTTCGACGATCAACTACGCGAAAACGAATATCACAGTCACAGCAAACGAGGAATCGGGGAAAACAGGCAAAGACTCGACGAAATACCAGCCGACCCATTGATTTATAGCTTTATTTTTCTTCGGATGCCACAGATTTTCTTAGTTATACATATTTATACATTCAGGCAACCCTAGTAATAGAATGTGAATGAAAAAAGCAAACTTTTCAACGAATATCATCAAAATATGAGCAAAATATTTTCTCATCATCGTTAGTTGCCTGTAGTATTACATCTCACAAAAAGTAGTCAACCAACATGGCACTGCAGCATTTTTGTACATCTAGATTTTTCC